GCTAATGTACAGGGCAAAACAAGAAAGAACATAGATGTACAGGACGTGACCAAGTACATGTTTGTAAAGGACCTGGCCATGTAAGAACATAAATGTATAGGACATTACAGGTAAGAATATATATGTACAGGACGTGACCAAGTACATGCTTGTAAGAGACGTGATTATGTAAGGACATAAATGTATTGGATATTACAGGTAAGAATATATATGTACAGGGCGTGACCAAGTACATGTTTGTAAGGGACATGGCAATGTAAGGACATAAATGTTTATATAGGATATTACAAGTAAGAATATAGACGTGACCAAGTACATCTTTGTAAAGAAGGTGACCGTGTAAGAATATGGATGTACAGTCTATGAAAAGTCAGAAAAATAGATCTACATTGCATGACCATGAAAATAATTGTAAGGGGCGTGACTAAGTAAGAAAATGAATGTATAGGATATGATTACTGAAGAACACGAATGTTTCAGGGTACATGGGTATCATCAGATATTACTTGGCCATTGGCGTAAAAAGAGCAAAAATTATAAAATACAAAAAATAACATGTTAAAAAACCAAGCAAATATACCTGTACAATTAAAAGTAACTGTCTATCATAAAAACTAACTGTACAGAAGGTTCGATCTCATATTTAATATTGAGAAACAGGTTTTGACACTTTCTCTTACTTCTTCGTGATAAGATAGAACAAATTCAAATTTGTGATCATCATTTTATCCATGAAAGTTATGATTAATTTTAACAGCTTCTTCATATAAACTCCTCTTTATTGTTACATATGTAGAACATTCTAATAAGACATGGTTTTCCGTTTCAACTGCATTTTTACAAACTGGACAGTCTAGCATTAACAAACATATTTTCATATCGCCCCGTTTCTAAACGTATAGGCGCAACACCGCATCTAAATTTAGCCAGAGCGGATCTGTGTTTAGCAGGAATAGTACTTGTAGAGACATACATTTCTGTTTCATAACCTTGTTTAAAAAATCTATATGATATAAGTTTATTACGACCATTTCTTCTTGGACAAGACATGTTATTTATACTGTTTTTCAATGTACAGTCTGACCGAGACTCAAACCCGGGGCACTCGGAAAGCCGTTCCGAGGCTTTACCGACTGAGCTTAAACATCTTTTCCCTTAAAAAGTATAAAGTTCTGAACTTTGACAAAGTTATGATTCTCCACATTCTTGATAGAGAACATGTAGCAAAGTTTTCCTATGCTAAGTTGAGATTATCTTTTTTTAGCCCTCCACCATGAAAATCATAAGCAAAGAACTCAACTAAATTAAAAAGAAGAGTGAGTCTTACTCCATACAGTTTAAAAGATAAATAAACTTATCAAAAATACAGCTTTGCTATTTACATTAATGTAGGTCAGCATTGGCCATGTATACCCAAAAGTAAAATATGATGACGCTAGAAAAATCAACATTTTAGCCGTGTCACGACAAAACCAACAGGGTGGGTTTGCGACAAGCATGGATCCAGACCAGCCTGTGCATCCGCGCAGTCTGATCAGGATCCATGCTGTTCGCTTACCAACTCTATAACAAGTAGAGAAACTGATAGCGAACAGCATGGATCCTGATCAGACTGCGCGGATGCGCAGGCTGGTCTGGATTCATGCTGGTCGCAAACCAACTATGTTGGTTTTGTCGTGACGCGGCTCATTTACAGTTATACTACTTTTGAATTTTGAACAGAATATGTCATCACACATTTTCTGAAGAGTTTCTAGAGATTTCTAGTTAAGCAAAATCAAATCAAGAAGATTTTTTTAAATACCCGAAGTCTCTTAAATTAGTATCAAGACATAAATTAAATCTAACTATTATCCCTATTTGAACTGGAGATTTCATGCTGTTTTTAACTTCATGCATATGCAAATACAGCAAATATTATACATTGTACTCATGTTTGTACAAAATATATCAAATGATCATGAATTGTGTGTTGTAAAATAGTTCCATTTAACGGCAAAGAACGCTGGCAGCATTGTTTATGGAAAGCCATGGCTGTCTGATATTGTTCTTTTTCAATTTATTTAACCATTTGGATAATATATGAGTCCACTTCGACTATATATGAATTGAAATCACCTTCTTATTTAACCGGAATCCATTATATTAATCCACAGTTACAATATATGAAACCATACTGTCAGTGTATGAAACCGAGTTAGCAATATATAAGTTGATTTTCTCAATATATGATTCCAATTCTTCAATATATGGTACCAAAGTAGCCATGTATGGAACCAGATGTCCTTATATGAAACCGAATTATCAATATATTTATTCATTTTTACAATATATGAAACCATTTTATCAATGTATGGAACCAAAGTACTAAATATATGAGTTGGTTATACCAATTATTCAATATATGGAACCAAAGTAGCAAAGTTTGGAACCAGGTGTCCTTATATGAAACCAAATTATCAATATATTAATTCATTTTTACAATGTATGAAACCATTTTATCAATGTATGGAACCAAAGTAGCAATATATGAGTTGGTTATTACAATATATGATACCAATTATTCAATATATGGAACCAAAGTAACAATGTATGGAACCAGGTGTCCTTATATGAAACCAAATTATCAATATATTAATTCATTTTTACAATATATGAAACCATTTCATCCATGTATTGAACCAAAGTATCAATATATAAGTTGATTATCACATTATATGATACCAGATCTTCAATATATGGTACCAAAGTAGCAATGTATGGAACCAGATGTCCTTATATGAAACCGAATTATCAATATATTAATTCATTTTTACAATATATGAAACCAATTCATCCATGTATTGAACCAAAGTATCAATATATAAGTCGATTATCACATTATATGATACCAGGTCTTCAATATATGGTACCAAAGTAGCAATGTATGGAACCAGATGTCCTTATATGAAACCGAATTATACATATATTTATTCATTTTTACAATATATGAAACCATTTCATCCAAGTATTGAACCAAAGTATCAATATATAAGTTGATTATCACATTATATGATACCAGATCTTTAATATATGGATCCAAGTAAGTCATGTATGGAACCAGATGTCCTTATATGAAACCGAATTATCAATATATTAAATCAATTTTACAATATATGAAACCAGTTTGTCAATGTATGTAACCGAAGTAGCAATATATAAGTTGATTTTCACATTATATGATACTAGTTCTTCAATATATGATACAAAAGTAGCAATATATTGAACCAAAATGTCATTATATTGACGGGACTTTTTTTAAAGACTGTATTCTATCCTTGCACCGGTATTACAGTTTCGCGCCAATATTTAAAAGACCAGCGTGCTTCACTGATTGCATACTGCACATTTTCTTAATAAGGAAATATTTGAATTTAACGTCACATTCACTTCAAATGGGCTGGGCGGGCAAAACTTATCATTATATATGTACGAGTTGTATGTCATAATTTAAGCTATTGTGTCGTACTGACCATTAACAAAAACATATTTAAAAAATAAGTTCATATCGACCTTTACCTTTGATCAAAAAATGGGCATGGCCAGTAGGACACATCAAGGTTAATCTACTCACAAAGTTTAAAAATAATCAGTCAAATAATAACTGATTTCATGAAAAAGTGTATGCATTGTAATAACAGAACCCAGTGACCTCGGCCTTTGACTTGTTGACATGAAAATAGGCTATTTTGGTTCCATATAATGAAAATTGCTATCATAGACTGTAACATCAACTTATATACTGCTACTTTGGTTCCATATATTAATAAAATGGTTTCATATATTGTAAAAATGACATAATATATTGATAATTCGGTTTCATATAAGGTTATCTGGTTCCATATATGGCTTCTTTGGTACAATATATTGAAGAATTGGAATCATATATTGAAGAACTGGTATCATATAAAGTGATAATCAAGTCATACATTGTTACTTTGGTTCCATATCTGGAATAATTGGTATCATATATTGTAATAACCAACTCATATATTGCTACTTTGGTTCCATACATTGATAAAATGGTTTCATATATTGTAAAAATTAATTAATATATTGATAATTTGTTTTCATATAAGGACACCTGGTTCCATACATTGCTTCTTTGGTTCCATATATTGAATAATTTGTATAACCAACTCATATATTTAGTACTTTGGTTCCATACATTGATAAAATGGTTTCATATATTGTAAAAATGAATTAATATATTGATAATTCGGTTTTATATAAGGACATCTGGTTCCATACATGGCTACTTTGGTACCATATATTGAAGAATTGGAATCATATATTGAGAAAATCAACTTATATATTGCTAACTCGGTTTCATACACTGACAGTATGGTTTCATATATTGTAACTGTGGATTAATATAATGGATTCCGGTTAAATAAGAAGGTGTTTTCAATTCATATATAGTCGAAGTGAACTCATATATTATCCAAATGGTTAAATAAATTGAAAAAGAACAATATCAGACAGCCATGGCTTTCCATAATTGTTAGCTGTAATGTTGTTTCAATGAATCAAGAATAGAATTGAATTGTTCTGTACGGTGTTCCGTTTGGACACGTTTGGACAATCGAGACATTTTATTTATTCTGTACCCGCGATGCACGATGGTACGATGGTGAAAACGCGATGGCACGATGGTACGATGATGAAAACACGATGGTACGATGGTGAAATCACGATGGTACGATGGTGAAATCGCGATGGCGCGATAGTACGATGGTGAAAACGCGATGTTACATCGCGTTTTCACCATCGTACCATCGTGATTTCACCATCGTACCATCGCGATTTCACCATCGTACCATCGCGTTTTCATCATCGTTCCATCGTGTTTTCACCATCGTACCATCGTGCCATCGTGTTTTCACCATCGTACCATCGTGCATCGCGGTAACAGACTAAATTAAAATTCACGACTGTCCAAACGGAACACCGTAGTTCTGCGTTCAATCAATGTCTGATTTCACGAAGCGTCGACAACTCTCTTATGTATATTTCGTCTGTTCGCAAATGTACATTGCCGTATGTGAACATTTGCTTTTCTTCCATTGATAGATAAACTCCGAAGTTAATGCCCCGCAATATTCATAGTTTTGGTTATGATACCAGTTAGTGTAACCTTGATCAAGTTCAGTCTCCGTGTGGATCCATTTCCAGACATCGTCAAGTAGAGCCATTCCGGCCCAGTAGTTCCCTGGAAGGAAACAACCGTGTTACAGATAGATAAATAAGTATCATGTTTTCATGTATGATGCGTTCTTGTACAATATTAGACATGCGTCAATATCATGACGTAAATTTATAGTGTTGAGTACAATACTGAATTCTATTGGATGAGTACACAGCTGTTAAACTTACATTGGACGAGACGCAACTCGAGTCTGATATAGGTTTTGCAACTGTGTATATATATTTTATGTTCTCAACAATGTACAATGACCTCCTTACTTCACACCACCTTTTTCGGACATTTTGACAGAATTTTTTTTCATTAAATACAAAAAGGAATTTATATGACCTTTTTTAAATCCTGAAACTGAAAACGAAGCTAGATAGGGTACGATATGCATTTAATAAAGATCTTTTGGACACAAGAATGAGAAATAAATGTTTGACGATATTGATGGTACATATTTTTTTCAATTGAAACTTTTGAACTTTTTGCGATATAATTGCAGAAATTTGTGACAAAATATTGCCGCGCAGAAAAATTTCTGCGATACAATGAAAAGTTAAAATGATTACAGTATAGCTTATAAACTATATTAGAATGACGTCAAGTTCAAGTTCATGTAACATTTTTTTCACTTGGGCTTTTCTTCCAAGTTTCACTGTCTCCGTTTCATTTGTTAGAGAATATTATCTAACAGCCACTTACCACCCGGACACTCGTAAATGCCACAATACTGCCACCTAATTTTTGGGTCTGTTGTGTAACACCATGGTAACCCTTCTCCGTCGGGATCTCGACAATAGTTGGCAGCATCTGTCACAGATCCCTCAGGAAACGTGTTGGTATGTGTGTGGGGAGTTTGTGAATCCCATCGCTGGCACGTGTGTCCGTCGTACGTCGTAGTTATAGTGCCATTATATTGATTTGGAGACGCACTGAAGCATTCTGAAATATTACCAGGATTTGGTTACTCTTTGAATTTTGTAATTGTTGAAATGAACTATTTAAATTTGGTTACTATTCAGATCTGGTTACTGTTGAAATTTGGTTACTATTGAAATTGGGTTACTTTTTAAATTTGGTAACTTTTGTAATTTAATATATTCAACATTTTTATAACAAACGCTAAAACGTGCCCTGATTTAGCGCAAGAAACACACTGATAGTAACAAAAGTTATCATAAGAACTCTAGGACAGCTTCAGAGATATCACAAGAACTCCAGGACATTTGAAAAATCGGGCATAAATGTGTTAGTCGGGACTTTATGTTTGCATTTGCATTATAATTAGGTAACTATGTATAGCAGGGATGCATACTCAATATATTCAAATTAAAGCAGCACGCCTCCAGATTCATGCTATAGTTTCATGAAAATTTTGAAAATATGTTAAAAAGTATTATCTAGTGAAATAATCAAAAAGAAGCAATTTACACATTATCAATGGTACTTACAAACCAATTAAATTACTAAAAGAGTACAAAATACGCATAAAAAACCCTTACTGCGTTAGTAACGCAGTAGAAATAAAGTTATCAAATTCTGAAAAATCTGTCATTAATCGCACATAACATGTAAATTATAACTTGAATCTTGAATATTTTTACTTTTTCTAAAATCTAAGTAAATTGTTCTCAAATTTGATTTTATTGAAACATTTTCGAACATCTGGAGGCATGCAGCTATTGGCAAATAATTTGGAAATTTTACTAAAAACTACCAGATTTTAAACAAAAGGCGATGAAAAATGGAAAATGAATTAGTTTTTGACACATATACAAGATGTAAGGCAAGCTTCATCATTAAAGTTTAATTAAGCACTCGCATATTAAAGATGAAATTAAGCATTTTGACGGGTGTTTTGTAGTATTTACAAAAGTTTTCCGACGAACCCCGTGACAGTTATCGCAAGAGCCCCTGACAAGTTTACATAAGAACTCCAACGTGTACCAGCTCCTTCCCCGTTGAAAAATTACCATTCACAATAGATTAACTTATTTTCGAGGCTGTTTCTGTATAATTGTGTTTGTACCTACGGATTAGCTGGGAAAACACCAAAATGTTCTTTATTTCGGAGAAAGTCTATTTTTGCTAGTCCGTATGTGTTTTTTTCTCCCTTAACGCCCCCTCCCACATATTCTTTCCGGCCGTAAATGGTTATGCAATAATGCTGTGACATCATACATAGTTTAGTTTGTAGTAATCATATTAAAAGGCTTTTCACATTAAAACCTCCTTTTATTTATAAATGCCGTGCTGTAAATAAAGCCTTTAAAACGCCTTATAGAGATGAGTACATATATGTAAACAATGAACTCGATTTTGACGTAACAAACACATGCATTGTACACTTTGATATTATTCTTTATTTATTTTGGCTTTACAGATCTCTCTGTAAAAAGCCAATCATTTACGCCTTTTTTTTGATTCATTTATAATGCTCAATTATAATAAGTTATTCTTTTCCGAGTTCACATGTAAAAATACTGGATTTTATCGATTGGGAATTAAAAAAAACGAACAAATTCAGAGTATATTACTCGCGATTACAACATATGATTTATGGTAAAGTAATTCAAGTCTAACACGACAATAAACGATATAAAACTTTGAATTTACTCTGTTTTGCAAAGCGTTCGCGTAGTTTGAGCGTTATGAACGTCACTTTCTATACGCGCGTCCCTTCCGGTGCTTCCATGGAAAGTGCCGAAAGTTTAAATAAAACGTGTTTTCTTTTTCGAAAAAATCCTTAAATCTCATATCAAAGTGCGAAAATATTCACTGGCTTCGCAATGTTTATATTGCAGCCGCTCTTGATCATATTACAATTTACTAAAACCAATGTGGCATATAAATAATTTTTACCTCTATTATTTTGTCCGTCAAGTGTTTCCATACGGTGTATCAGGAACCGTTCTTCGTCAGCAGATGTAATCTCGGCAAGATGACCGTTCAGTTTTTGACATCGGATCTGGAACAAACATGTTTTAAATCATACGAATAAGGCAAAGCATCAAACCGAGCTCTCGGAAAACAATACACTATAAGTACGTGTATTTTTTTACAAAGACCTCCACTCGCTAATAATCAAAATGTGAAAACTTAATAAGAATTCCAGTTAGGAAAAAAAAGATTTTTTTATTTCCTTAAGATTCGTAAAAATGGATCTCCAGATATAAGAGCTTCTATCCGGAATGAAGTGAACTTCCGGCAATGTTTTCAAAACCATCATAGTTTGGACGCTACTTTCGTAACCGCTATGCTCGCTATACGAGCAGACACTTCAAACCTGCTCTTCTAGCTAGTTAATATGAATTTTGCAAAGCCTAAAAGCCAGCTCTAATACAAAATTTACTAAAACATTACACTATTTTAAGTATTTATCAATCAAGTCTAATAAACCCTCCGAAATCATGACCTCGCAAAGAATACAATGGCAGGAAAATAGATTGGAATCAATAAGATTTCCATTTCGGGAAAAATGATAATAACCGTGAAACGTGAACGACCGGAACTGGAAGTTACTGCTTATTGGCGACGCCGGTGAGCGGCGTCGTCTCTTATGGAATGTTTTTTTTTTCACATGGTAGGAGCTGTTATTATTAGCAGTTAATGTCATGTTGTCTTAATAAGTTTCATTTTGATTTTGAAAAATCAATTAAACAAATATGGTGTTATATTTGTATTTAATAACTTTATGTAAAAAAAAACATGTGCATTTCGATATTTTTTCATAAAATTGCAGGCTCAGTTTAACAGCTTGTCGCGAATACTTAAAGCCGGATTCGGAATATCGTTGTGGTCTATATTGATGTTTTCATTTTTGTTATTTAACTCAGATTAAGTTTTTTTTTTATTTTATAGATTACACTGTTAAATCACTTTTTGTTAATTATGCATTGTTTATTGTTTCGTTCTATATGCGGTTAGAATTTTTCTACGAGTAGAACGTTCATATTCAAATGAGTATAAGGATTCGTAATGGAAATGTTGAAAACGATAATTCTATTGATTTTAATCCATATCACGTTTATCTATTGCACATAATGATTGTTTTTACAAAGTGTACCAGTATCCGGATGTTGAAAGCTATCCGGTTTTCTGCAATGTAATCCTACTGGTGTCACATGGCCTTCTAACTTTTATGAATTATACTTTTTACCATTACTTTTAATAAGACTGAGCCTGCAACATTTTATTATTTTGCTGTTTAGGGTGTTCTTTAGGGTCTCAGGTTTTTTTCTATTTTAAGGGGAAGTAACTCATGTTTACTAAATTTTTAGTTCTTTTCTGTCAATCTAAGGTACAGTTGAGTTCACACTAAAGGTTACACCAAGTGCACTTGGTATGCACTACATGTGCACTTCTAGTGCACTTCAATGTGTACATTTAGTGCACTTTGAAGTTCACTACTAGTGCAGTAGACCATTTGTACTGGACAATGTTTCAGTTTGTATAGCATTACCTTTAATTTAAGGAATGTTTTAAATAGCATTTGAACCATGCCATGACAAAACCAACATAATGGGTTTGCGAACAGCATGGATCCAGACCAGCCTGCGCATCCGCGCAGTCTGATCAGGATCCATGCTCTTCGCTATCAGTTTCTCTACTTGTTATAGGGTTTGAAAGCGAACAGCATTGATCCTGATCAGACTGCGCGGATGCGCAGACTGGTCTGGATCCATGCTGGTCGCAAACCCACTATGTTGGTTTTGTCGTGACACGGCTCATTTTATAAATTTAATTATTAATTTATTATTTTTACTTTTTGTAATTTGTAAAATTAATAACTTCTATCAATATAATCTCATTATTAGATTTATGTTGAAAATGATAGAAATAGAAAATTGAGCCGTGTCACGACAAAACCAACACAATGGGTTTGCGACCAGCATGGATCCAGACCAGACCATGGATCCGCGCAGTCTGATCAGGATCCATGCTGTTCGCTTACCAATCTATTACATATAGAGGAAATGATGGTGAACAGCATGGATCCTGATCAGACTGCGCGGATGCGCAGGCTGGTCTGGATCCATGCTGGTCGCAAAACCACAATGTTGGTTTTGTCATGACACGGCTCAAATATTTTATTGATGTTATTATAATAACCAGGTAAATTATTTGAAATACTAAATGGACAGTAGTAACTATTTAAACTGATTTTACAAATTTGTTGATCTACTCTTTTTATGAAGAAAGTGTAAATGGTTTACGATAATTTTAGAGACAAATAGTATGGTCATTATGTGCTTGGAAATTGTATGGAATATAATGATGTACTATTTACAAATAAAAGGATGCTCTTTTCTATTCTAATAATTAATAGTTGTTTCTTTATTTTTTTAAATTACAATATTTAATAATCCTTAATTCTCAAACTGAGACTGACTCTCGGACATATAAGCTATATGTTAATGGTAGGATAAAAAAGATTTTGTTTCTTTCTAGAAATCATAAAATAATTTGATGAGCCGTGTGTATCTTAAACAGTTTTGCTAGAAGTTTATGTAATTTATGACTTTCCCAAATGTTTATGGTGTAATTTGCCATAGGGTGATATACAAGCACATCCTCAGTCCTTCCAATAAACAGCTTGACACTAATAAGATTAGATTCTACCCAGGCATTGTCACATACAATACTAAAACATAAGAATCAACATTTAAGTGTAAAAGGAATACTTTAGACTTCAAAGACTTGCGTTCCTTGAACACCGCCTTTCAAAATACTCCTAATTAGCAAGAAAAGTAAAAATAACTTTCCTTGTGAATAATGCAAATTTAAAAGTGGTTTGTCTCCAGTTCGTAAATTATTTAAAAAAAAGAAAAGAAAAGAAAAATGAAACACTTGAAAAACATACTTACAATGTACATGTATCTTAAAAGAAGGAAGAAGGAGTGTTCAAAGTGAAGTTTAAACTTTGGACCATGATAGTAATAGATTAAGAGATATGTCTGCGTATTTTCACAAGTTATAGGTATTTATCTGTGGAAGTTTTAGAAGATATTCCATGCAGTACAGGTATGTACTGTTGTAGAAGAAATGCAGACAAGTTGGGATTAAGTGGATTGAAATATTCAAATTGACTCCTTAGATTCAAAACCTGTTTTTAAAAAGAAAACATGAAACATCGCGTAGTAATTAATTCCACGGTTAAACAGCTCTGCAAGAGAAGTCTGAAATAGATTATCCCCTTCGTACTAGAATTTAACAAACGATAATACTTGTTTAAAATAAATTTCAAAAGTATTTAATGTGTTGAAAATAACATGTTTTTTGTCATTTCAATAAAACTGTTTCCTTCTTGTACAAAATAGAAGTATCATTACCCTTCATTATAAAGTTCAACCATGTATACTTTTAAATTTTCAATGGGTTTTTTACCTTTGGGGTCCCTTTTACACAGGATAAAAGGCCCCAAAAAACTCCCAGTTTCCCCATGGGTTTTTCCAAGGGGGCATTTTAGGTCCCTCTTTTATGGGCTAAAAATATGTCAAAATATTCCCCGTTTAAACCCCAAGCCCAAAAAGCTTTTTTTTATATGATGATGACTCAGGTAAACCTTGTATCTTGGGTAAAATTTTAAAACCCAAGATTTTTTTCTCTTTTTGGCATTTAGGGAATTTTTTGTGATTGGTTATATTTGACCCTTTAAAAATTTTCTTTTTTCATCCCGGGGCAAGAAAAGAGTTTTATGCTTTTTGGGGTTCCCAAATTTTTAAAATTAAACAGGGTTTCCCAGCTTCCAGGCACATGTAATGGTACTTTATATAAAAATACACCTCCTCTGTTAAGTATTTAGGTGCAACAGTCTTGATCAATATATTCTGGCGTCGCCTTTGATGCTTTGCATCAATGATTTTCTTGTAACTGCTTATAACTCTTATTACAGGGAAGACATAAATACCATGGGAGGCAGGGAGGGAGGGAGGGAGGGAGATATTATACGCTTTTTTTATAGCTCACAAAAGACAGACAGTCCTTCAGGCATGCTCTTCAACCTTTAAATGACTCACTGATCTATTATTATAATGATATATTAATTAAAGCTGCATGTCTTGAGAAGAGCCAAAATATATCAAAAAAATGCAAACATGATAAAAATGTACTAAGATTTTAAGAAAGGTAAAAAGAGTCAAGATTTGTGTTACAGTTTGAATGTTACGTCCGTTTAAAGACATAATTTGCAGTATTTATTACTATATTTCTGCTATTTTGCATATTTTGACCTTTCTGGTAATTTGCTTGAATTATAAGTGCCGATTGCAATATTTGTACGAAATACTTTCTCATAATTTTCGTGAAAATTAGCATGAATCTGGAGGCATGCTGCTTTAATTTGAAAATGATCACATTGTTTCACTTACCATAGCATCTTTCCAGCTCGCCGATTGGCTACTGATGAAATAACATGACTGTTCATATGAAATCCAGTTATCAGGACAATCTATAATAAGAATAAAATATATGCAGACGACACTTTCTTTTATAGATGTTAAAATAAGTATTAGACCCATGAAAGTATATAATGACGTTTAACATTAAACTTTCGTCATGTTTCAGCTTGTAAAATACGTACTTCCATAATATTTACTATATTTATTAGCAAAGGCCCCAATTACAAATTAGATTATTATTGTAAGTAACTGAGCCATATTGATAGACTCAAAATAACCAAAAACATCTGGTTGAATTAAAATAATGTTGACATGAAATAGAAAAATCCGACTAGGTTTAAATCTGCGAGATACCATTACCAGTGCAAGATTTTCGATTATATCAAACTATATATATATGTGCAGTTCTAGTGTTAAAGAAATTATACATCCAAAACAGTGATTTTATCGCTAAATAAAACCACTGTTTGGAGTTGGGATGCGAGGAATTATAATACTTTATGAAGCAGATCTATAGCCGTGCTGACTTTTTAAATTAATCTATGGAATAATAAAATGCTAAACGCAGAAACTTCAAACCTCGTATTTCTGTTGTTGTGTTTAGTGAAGACGAAGTTGTCGCCGAATTTGTTTCAAAATTCGTCAAGAAAGTAGGTAACGTGAGATTCTGAGAATTTGTTGTCTGATCGTAAGAATTTGTCGTCTGCTCAACGGAATTTGTCGTCGCATTAATAAAACATCCGTCTGGAATAATACATCGGCATGTGTCATTCTTATTTGACAGTAGATACACTAAAATTCCGCTTCCAATTAGCAAAATAGAAACACTGAGCAATGCAACATAGACACTCGATTTTTGCATTATTATCCGTTTTTGAGGCACAAGCGCCAGCGAGTGCCCTAATGGAATTATGATATATATTGCTTTCTATGATTTGAACACATCTCGACTACGCTGGACAAAATAGATCCAAGACTTTGTCATGATATTCAGAGAATCATAATTACCCTTTCTACTTTAAAACTTACTGACCAATTAACTACTAGAATTTCAATCCTTCTTTTACAAAATTACATATATTCTTGCTAAACACATTTTTAATGTTACTACGCCAGCAGTCGATAAATTTTTAAAAGGGAACCAATTTGTTTTCAACCGACTGGTTCCCGATGCGTATCACACAAGAGCCTAAGAACGTGCATGAATATAGGAATGTCAGACGTTTCACTCCGTAGACATTTCACTGTTGAGACATTTCACTCCCAAGACAGTTCACACCTAGACGTTTCACTCCCAATTTGTAAAATGTATGGACGTTTCACTCCAATTTTTTTAGATATTTTTTAGGAAAGTTAACAAATCAATTTCCATTTTTAATATCCATATCAGGATTGATTGTTTATATTGATGTATGTTTTTCTGTTGTAGATAAGCAATTAAAGTTCTGTAATATACATTTTTTATTTTTGTTGTATTGAAAAATGGTTTAATAGGTGATGATAAAAGATGTGGTTGGTTATTCAAAATAAAACACACAATTGTTAAAAAGGAATTCATACTTATATAAACTATGATATAAACTATACTATGCTCATCCTTAAGAATAATATTTTCATTAGTACTTTCGTTAAAAATAAGTCACATGGAAATAATGTCACTAACTTGATATCAATTATTTTTATCAAAAAAAAATAATTGTTAAAATAATAAAAAATATCAATAATATATTAATATAAAAGTAAAATATTTGTTATTTCGTTTAAGTCTTAAACAATGATATGCAAAAGATGTGTATAAATTTCATTATTCTTTTGAATTATCTCTTTATCAATTTATTTAACAGTAGCCATTACACAAACGTAGGTAATTATTGTGGTGTTAACAGTAATCTCATCACCTAATAAGTTGTATAAACACTGAGACCAACAACTAACAGTTTGACATTACCATTGTATCAGTTGTATAAACACTGCACTTTAGCATCAACAGCTTACTATAATCAGTTGTTTATCCATTAAAATACTTTTTAGATAACATCCTGATCCAATTAAAACAAAAGTCTTGGAAACAGAAACTTCTCCATTATAAGTTTTGTTTATATAACAAATTAAAATAATATTTAATCTGATATATAAATAAATTATTTTTATTTTACATACTCAATACAAAGAAAATCACCTATGAATTCTTATCATTAACAGCTGTAAAGAACTATAAGTCCGTTATGAGGTCTATCTTTTGCACGCGCACAGGTCTGTTCTAGGCAGACAGACCCGGTCATGAAATACACGTGAAAAAATAGGCCTATTAATGCGAAGACAAAGAAAGCATGAAATGCAATCAAAAATTAAAAATTGAAATAAAATGTAAATGATTGTCATAATGTTCCTGTCTCACAAAATCGGCATACATATTTTAAACAAATTAATGTTTATTGAATGCACTAAGCAATTATTCCAGCATCCCTAAAAAATAATGGATAGCATATCAAATTAAGTTATGACACATTTAACATTTATTTAATCGCGTCGTTTTTCAAAGTAAGAGTAATCTAAGTGTTTCTTCTGTCATTAAATTCACAATATAACAAAATTTACGCTTCAAGTTCATATCAATGAAACTATATAGCAATAATCACAGCATACTTATTACGATTTTAAAATGTTAATAAAGTTACAAGTGATTAAGTATAAAACTAGAACTGTGTCCAAAGGACACGGATGCCCCCACTGTGCAGATCTGCTCGTAATCAAGAGCATGCATATCTGTACGTTAGATTTTTATGTGGAACTTTTTCATTCCACTCTTTCATTTCTGTACATATACATAAAAAGATCTACAGGTAACCTTATGTACATGTTAAATTAAATTACAAATGTAAAATTTATATGTTCAATTATTTATATGGTATATAGTGAAAAAATCAACATGGGTCATAATTGTGGTAAATTTGGTCACAGCAAAAACTCCTTCCTTTACTACCATCTACACATTAAAGCTGTTCATCCCTGGAAGTTTAAGCAAAATCTGCCATCCGGTTTAAGAGGAGTTGCGATCACAAAATTTCTATATGGTATATAGTGAAAAAATTAACAAAGGACCATAATTCTGTTAAATTTGGTCGCAGCAAAAATTCCTTTCTTTACTTCCATCTACACATTAAGGTTGTTCCTCCCTGGAAGTTAAAGCAGAATCTGCCATCCGGTTTAAGAGGAGTTGCGATCACAAAATTTCTATATGGTATATAGTGAAAAAATCAACAAAGTGCCATAATTCTGTTAAATTTGGTCGCAGCGAAAATTCCTTCCTTTACTACCATCTACACATTAAGGTTGTTCATCCCTGGAAGTTTAAGCAAAATCTGCCATCTGGTTTAAGAGGAGTTGCGTTCACAAGATTTCGGGACGTACGGACAGACGGACGGACGGACATGTGCAACGCTATATGCCCCCCTTTGTGGGGGCATAAAATTTTTTTGATGAACGATCATATTTTATTCTGGAACACTTTATAATCTGCTATGTAAAATAAAGTTTTGGATCATATATCTCACACCTGCCACCAATATACATATGTAAGTCTTTCGTGGTCTGTTGGGTATTCGGACATTGCCCTTCGGACAGTTGCCCTCTCGGAAGTTTGCCCTCTTTTTGCTGTGGCGGACATTTGATCCCTCATATCATTGGAAGGGGCGGACATTTGCCGCCTCCCTGTTTTAAAAATGTTAAAATATTCTATTGTTTGTTTGCTACCAAAATTATTTATCGCCTATTGTCGAAATTCCATAGTGCTTAAATACACAAAAACTCTCACGGAAATTTTTGAAAGTCAAAATAAATGTACTAGAATCTATCATATTTCCATTGGCATACAAAAAATCTATACACGAGATGACAGCAAAAAAAAGGGGGGGGGGAACTATCCGGGAGGCAAATGTCCTAGAATCTGCATTGTCTGATACGAAATACTATCAACATAATTATTCTTTCTTTAACATACCTTCTATTACAGATCTATTCACTTTATTATTGACAAATTGCACATTTCGCTTTTTTGATTATTATTTTAAAGGGAAAAGCAAAATTAAATGCCAAATATATATTGTATTGGAGCAGAACGTTGATAAAAGCTTACCTGTATATGCATTGTGTTAAAATTTTATTTGTGCTCAAGCAAATATAGTTTTACGGTGTGTAAGTTGGATATCGGCCTCGTACATCGATCTTTCTGTTTAGGAAAGACCTAGTCACGACTTTCATGAAACACCTCGAGCGCTACTCGCTCTCGGTGTCACATGAAATCCGTGACCAGGTCTTTCCTAAACAGAAAGACCTCGTACTAGGTCGATATCCTATACAGATAGTACCAACATTATTAAGTCATAAGTGAACTTACTTTCATAGAACACAACAAGTAAAATACGTTGCAATACGTTTTTTTCCAGATCAGATAACTTTAAAGCTTAAAATGCTTCTAATGTGCAAATGTATTTTAAGAACACTGTATGCGTATGAAAACGAACTATTTTCTAATGTGCGTTTTCCGCACATGTTGACAGGTAAACATTGAGAAATTTTGCTGTCGATTCAGAAGTTCTGGCTGTTAAAAAGAGTTGAAAGTTTTATTAATACGAACGCTGAATCTCTCATATAAATAACTGTTGAGTGAATTTGCTCTTGCATTAATGGGTAGCGAAATTGTCGACAAGTGTTGGATGTGTAATACCGTATGGTACTGTACTTGTTACGGGAGTTACGGAATGTTCCGAGCCAACCGGAACTAGTGTGTTAGGTTTGACAGTTTGGCGCCATATAGTGTAGAAAATAGGGAATTCCATGTGTACATGTGCAGTGACGTAGCAGAAAAATGTGTAACGCTAGCTATGGCGTTGATTGGCTGCTCTGCGGAAGTCCTGTGACGTCAAGGGGAACACCTCGATTCGTCAACAACGGCTTTGCCCCAAAAACACAAAAATCACACTGGCCACCATTTTGTTACCTTCTATAGCCGTCGAAGGGTTTTTATAGTTCTTTTTTGTGATGAGACTGCAAAAACACACAGAGAGACAGCAAAATAAATAAATAATCAACACAAAGACAGGAGTTAGGTTTTCACTCTACAACTGTAATTCAAATCTGCAGTGCATTCCATTAATATACAAACCGTCAAAATCATGAAACAAACTATGAATGAGAAAATGAAGAATGAATATATATCAATACACTTATATAAGTAAATTACCTGCAAAAACACACAGAGACAGCAAAATAAATAAATAATCAACACAAAGACAGGAGTTAGGTTTTCACTCTACAACTGTTATTCAAATCTGCCTTGCGCATGCGTGGCGGTAAATCATGAGCGGAAAAATGAGGCCCGTCACCAGTTGCTATAGTTAGTGTATGATATATGATGAATGATATAATGAGGCTATGGGAGTAAATATGAGATGAAGAGTGGATGGACATGGAATAATATATATATTTAAAAGAAATGCACGATATATCATATAGGATATAATAATGGTAAAGTATATACATGTATATATAATAACAAATGACCCTGTGACATTGTATTGGCAATTTATGTCTATGGCTGCTTGCAATATATGTTTTATATGAAATCAAATACAGTGAGGCACAATAGCCTACAAAAACAACAAAACAAAATATATCAACTGAAAAAACATGAAAACAGCCTGGTGATCAGATACTGCATCATGAAATGTAAAAAGTTCATTGCCTAAATATGCAGGACAGTCTGGTGATAGCAAACATTTTGCCAGTGAGGCGCCTAATTTCATTATCAACGGACAGCCTCCAAAACACACCATATCAAGTTTATCCCCTCAAATCAAAAAGTTGACAATTTAGAAAAACACCTCACCATGTGTTACTGACAGCCTGGTGTACAGATACCGCCTACTTAATAAAATATCTGTCTCTAAATAAACCATGCCCGTATTCTGCCAAATGGACTTCGGCAGTAGTCCACCGCCACAAAGCGTAAGGGCAAAATTACACAGCAAGCCATGGACCAACTTCAGTGACGTCAGGAAAAGAAACAACATCATTATTATGACAAAACTTATATAGTGTCCCTTGCAAAGTGTTAAGAAAAATGTCATTGCCAAAACTCGACAAATGGACTTGGTCGCTTGCGAAACAAAGGCCGTTGATTCTTCAACTATTTCTGGATACTTAATCAAAGCTCCACCTTTTTTAAACTATTTTTTGTCGAAAATGGAATTTATTGATGGTTCTAAAGAGTTGTGATTGCGTTCATAACGCCATTTTAATCTTGGTAAAATTTGTGAAAATACTATTAGAGCAAATGAATATTTTGGAAAAAGCTCATCAGTTAGTGATCTTAGTGAAAACGTTAGTTGACCTAATGGAGTTGAACCGACATTGTTACCTCCAGCAATGAAATGACAATTATGTCTGGCTATAATATTGAACAAGTTCTTCAATGGCTGATAGTGCATTTTCAACCTTCAAAGAAGAAACAGCTTTCCAATTTAGATAATTTCTATACCTGTCTAAGCCAAGTGTTGCCCAACAGTATTCCTTGCATGTTGCTCAGCGTATTTTACTTATTGACGAGCCAACTAATATTACACTTGTAATGGACCTGCAATTGGAAAAAGATCTCAGCATCGTGTGTAAAACTAAATACATATAACTAAAGGGCGAATATAATGGCTGATTTGCTGAAACTTTTTCCCTCTTCCAAGGTTTTAATTTGCTCTTCTGAAAAACCTTGTAAAATAAATCAGTTGCAGAAACCTATACGAACAAAATTGACAGTGTTTCTGTGTATTTATAATATTTGATGTCTATAGTTACTGAGATTCAAGAACTTTCCTCATAAACAAAGTTAATTGGTATGAAAGTAAGGTTTTTTCCATCAAAATGACAGAGAAACTGAGAAGAAATATTAGGTCTAACTGCAAAGATACTGCAAAAGAGTTAGAGTTAACTGTTGTTCCCTGTCCAGAATGTGGGATGATTTTATCTAAGTACCCTTGACTTAACTGAAAATCCAGTTTGGAGTGCCTAAACTCTTTACTTGGAAACTTGCATTTGATTAACCTCAAACATTCTGACAGTTGATGACTTTATATTGACTCTTGGACTTGATGGAAACAAACTCACTGATTCGTAACAAATGCAAAAAATTGCCAAAAAATGCGGCTTGAAAAGGATAGCCTCATAACTTGAACAGCACGCACAAAAAAATGAAGATTTTTTAACAAAGTTTAATCAAATATTTGTTAAAATAAGAAATTGCGTAATCTGATATCTAAGTTACCATGTTGACCATTCATGTAACCTTTTAAGACTTATCTCAACAAGGAGTGCTGTGTAGGATCAATGAAGTCATTAAGTTAACACTGAAAACGTAAAGCAGATATGTAACTATTGACAGTTTTAAATGCGTAACCCGCCAAAGACATGTACGCAATGAATTCTAACACACTTTCGACATAAGGTGGCCAAGTTTTTCCAACTGGTAGAACTTTGCCTAGACGATTCCACAGTCATCAGTTATAACATTTTTTGAAGTCGAAATATGCATAGCTCAAAACTGAATACCGTATCTCGGTGAGCTAATTGGACATTACTTCAGGCATGCTTCATATTAATTACTTTTGTGGTGTTGTTTTCCTGATTTTAATGTCATTTAAAAATCCTGTAAATAATTCTTAGAGAGAAAACAAATATAATCTTGTACAAAGAATGATTAAATTGCATGTAGGAATGCAGGAATGTAGATATACGGAGTACAAAAAGAAAAAAAAAAGAAAAAAAAAAAAAAAAAAGAAAAAAAAAAAAAAAGAAAGGTTAAAAACCCCAACTTTTCCAAGAAGTAACGATGTAAAAGCTGTACATGTATATTGTTTATAATGTCTACTTTCGAAAATTCCACATATTTGCATAAAATTTTTGATGACCTATTATTTATAATAGCTACTAAGGCATTATTATCAGTTCTGAAAAGATCTTTTTTCCTTTGAAAAAGGTGTCCCCAAACAGAGAGAGCCAACATAATGGGAATAAGCTCTAGATAAGTTATATCCCTTAAAACCTCAGGTGTTAGATCAGATGGCCAGATTGTCTGAACTGGTCCATACAAGGTCACTAAAGTAACAAATACCATTAAAATCTTTTAAAAACATAAACCATACTTCCATATGATCGTAGCGCATTCCAGCAGAGACTCTAATGAAATGATGGGGTAAACGTGCTTGGGACATAACATTATAAAAACGTCTATTGAATGCTCTACCAGAAGGAATGGTTCTGCAGATGAAATTAAGAGAGCCAACTAATGATTGTAACTGCTTTAGTGTAGTTTTCTTTTTATCCATTAATGTTTCCAACAGATCTATTAACGATATAATATTTTCATGTGGAATTCTAATAATTCCATTTTCTGAATCTATTTCCAAGCCTAGATAAACAATAGTTGTAACTGGACCTACCGTTTTATCTTCATCCAAATCTAAAAAAAAAATATGTATGCAAAACTGAAAAAAATATGTATGCAAAACTAAAATAAAATATGTATGCAAAACTAAAAACAAAAAAATGCAAATGTCACTTTTATGCCACCGTAATTTTGTTATATGAACACAATTTTTAGATATTTCAAGTGGTAAAATTAGTGAAACGTTTATCACTTAAGTATCATAAAGTATTGACCGCCATCTTGAACTCCACCTCAAATATTTTAATGTCGCAGATCGAAAATAAGTCAGTACTCAGTATTTAAGCAGAACTCAGATGACACCTTTAGACCCCTGAAACCCAAAGTACGTTAATATGTAGTATATTAACGCACTTTGGGGTCAATTTCTCGATTTTGACCCCAAAGGGCGTTGGACCCCAAAGTGCGGTGTTACAAAGCTTTCATTTGTAATTTGTGATAGCTGCATGGGAGTAACACTTTTTGATGACACACAGTAAACGTTATTAAAATCAAACAACAAAGTTAATCAACTGAAATGCGATTTTACATTATATACATGGCAATAAAAAATAAATAAATAAAAAAAACAAAAACAAAAAACAAACAACCTATGTCTATATAATATGTCCATGAACTCTACAGCGAGTTCCTTAACACTTGAAACTTATACACAATGGTTCATTTCTATTGTTTTATATATATTTGAAAATACCTATGGATAATGTGCCCATTGTAGACCAATCCACTTTAACAGAAATGATTACAAAAAGGAACAGGTTGGTACCTGTGTTCATTACCTAAAGTACAATGCGAACCATAGAGTTCCTCATCCTTTTCAAGTACCAGAGAACCACGGTGTGGAACCGGCTCATTGAAATATGATAAGATTAGGACATGTTTGTGGAATTGATCAAAACATATAGATAATTTATTTGTTCGGCTAGGTTTTACCTCGCACCAACACAATGTAGTTCATTTGGCGGCATTCCAGCTTTACTAGCGGAGGAAGACTTCAAATACCTTTACGTGCATAATTTCGATCAACACTGACTTCCGGGTTGTTGTCCGGCCCTGGCACCTAAAGTAGTTCATTTCAACGAGGTAAAATTCTACAATGTTCTAATAGATAATCTTTTTTTGGTATGAAATTTTTTTCTTTTTGTCTCAAGTACAATAACATAAATTGTTTAATATTTTATCCCTTTAGAAACGAATATTATTTGTACTGTCTTATTGTTTGAGTTTGAAAAAATGAATTGCATAATTTTAAACCCCAGTCACACTAGAGCTTACGATTACTTGCGACCACCGGCGACTTGTAAAACTGACGATCATCAGCGATTGTCTGCGACCAAAACCATTTTTGCACAGATAAATTTACGTTTGCGAGTATCGTAAGACAAGTCATCATTGACAATCGTACGACAGGTCATAAGTAAACGTACGAAGGTCTCAAGATTGCCTGGGATTACTTACGACTACCCGTGTCATAACATGCGATCACCTACAACTTGTCGTACGACCATCACACGATTACTAAAGACTATTTAGGATTATCAGTGACTAGTGGCAATTTGTAAAGACTGTCGTAAGATTGTCGCACTTCTGAACGACCATCGTGCGACAGCCTTAAGACCTTATAAGATCACTAGCGACCTGTTTGATCGCAAGGAGGTTTTTGTGCAAGCTCAAAAACCTCTCTACGACTGAAATTGGTCGTGGGACCTAAATAAGATAACCTGCGACTGCCAAAGATCACCGATGACCGTCGTAAGACGTTTTAAAGATTGTCCGCGACCAGAGGTCACTGGTGATCGTGAACTGGTCTTCACTGGTCGTAAGCTCTAGTGTGACTGGGGCTTTAGAAAAGATGAAAAACTTTAATTTGTGTCCCAATTCTTTTTTTTTTTCACGTTGTGCTCTTCTTTTTCTTTTGCATTTTTTTTCTTTTTAGAAATCGACTTAAGATCATTAAATCATAAATTGAAGTTACTTAGATATACCAAATAATGATAATAATAATAATAATTATAATAAAAATAATAATAATAATAATAATAATAATAATAATAATAATAATAATAATAATAATAAAAGTAATAATAATAATAATAATAATATAATGATAGTAATATTAATGATAATAATAATAATAATAATAATAATAATAATATAATAGCACAAGTAAAAGTAATGATAATAATAAAATAATAATAATAATGATGATAATAATGATAATGATAATAATAATAAAATAATATCAATATTAATAGTAATGATAATAGTAAAATAAAAATAATAATAATGATAATAATAATGATAATAATAATAATAATAATAATAATAATAATAATAATAAGAAGAAGAAGAAGAAGAAGAAGAAGAAGAAGAAGAAAAAAAACAAGTAAAAGAAGAAGAACCACTACCACCACCACTACTACAATTACAACAACAACAACAACAACACCTGTCTAACATTGACATTATTCGTTCTAGTTTTAAAATCACTTGAAAGGGCCTCAATAGTCGCGATGCGAAACTAAGTATAAGGCGGTTGTTATTGTAACTTATTGCACTTAACATTTAACTATTTTTATGTTTAATCAACATAAAGATCTGTCTAATTTTCCCTGATTATATCTAGAGTTTCGGTATAATGTAACGAAAAAATCGCATCCCTTTTTCCTTATAGAAAGACACGAAACCAATTTGAAAAAAAGACAAGTCATAGCCTAATTTGTTTAACAATTGTTGATAAGTTTTGAAAAAACCCGAACATTATTTTTTTTATAAAAGAAGTGTAAACTACGCGTTAATTCATGCAATTTTCCCTATCACGCAGCATTTGACGTTGCTTCCTTGTGTAGATGAATATAGATATTGTTACATTTAAAGGGACTCTACTGAGGTTTCAAAGCCTTAATTATTTTCTAACAATGATTGAGCTGGTCCACTTTAAAATATATTATTATTTATAATATAAAATAATTAATATATATATAATAATGAATATCGTATATGCCTTTTTAGCCTGTATTTGGATGAAAAGCGTTATTGATAATAAGGCGCTTTTTCATTTGGGTATCTTTTGTTAACAATGAATATATATTTCTGAGAAAAAACTAAGTGCGCGAATGATCTGAAATTTTACACAAAGATTAGTGGTCTAAACCTACATCAAATAGTACATTTATCTGTAAAAGATATTTTCAGTCCCATCATGTCAAAAAACCTCAGTGGAGTCCCTTTAAAGATGCTGTATGTTATAATTGAGGTTGAATACCGCACTTTAGTGAAATTTTATATATACAAAATGTATGCATATAATTATGCTTATAAAACAATTTTCAAACAACGAAGAATATGTAAAATATGTACTGCAAATATTTGTACATATTATATGCATTCGTTTCTTATCTGACTTTATAGAAAATAAAGTTTTTACTACCTCCCTTTATTTACATGAAATGTTAAATTCGGTAATATCTTTACAAATAATGCATTTTGGAACTTACGAAATTGATAAATCTTAATTTGAGCATCATAATTATTTATGATATAAAACCATAAAAAGATTGTGATACAGGATCTTTAAATGACATTTCGTCCCCGAGAAAAACATGATAGGTTTTTCCCCAATAACCAATTACCATATGTCCACATAAACCAACATGTTCTCACTGTTGTAGTAAATAACTACATAACAAAGAACCAAAGATCCGGGGTGCGCAGGATCAAATAACCCCATGGTAATGCACCTGCGCACGTACCGGTCAGCCTTGGTTCAAGCGTATTTAGAGGAGAAGAGAATTGAGGTTTTCTTAAATCAGACTTATAGTCCTCACGTGTCTATTTATGACTTTCGGTTAAACACATACACCAAATTTTGCCTTCGCTGTCGCCGGTTCAAACCCCGTAGTGCCATCGGAAGCGCTCTCTACCAGTGTATAAACAGTATACCCAATGAACAGTTCATTAAATGGTTTTATTTCGGAATGGATTTTGAGGCTGGGTAAGTGTGTAGAGGTCCATGATGAATATTTTGAAGGACTCTACTAATCATTGTTCACAGGTATGACTCATTTATAGAAACGCACTGCCGTTGCCACTAATAAAAATATGCCCCTCGTAGGTTTGCTTTCTACAAATTGTTTATTTCAATGCGTTTTCTGTTCAGGGCCGTGGTGCCCTTTACCTTTAAGCGACTTGCAGTCATAAACTAGTCATGGTCGACATTTTTACTAATTCACAGTCGAGCCAAAGTGTTGTATTTCTTCGTCGGACAAGCTTTTGGGGGTCAATGTCATGGTTCCCCTTTTCTCTGACTTACTGCCTTAAAAATCACAATGATTTTTTTTTGAAAAATGTAATGCCCTACCCAAACAGCATATCTTTTGTCTGTGAACAAAAACGTTTTGATCTTTGACAGGGGAGCGGTGGCCTAGTGGTTAAGGTGTCTGCTTCTCAACCCAGGGATCTTGGGTTCGAGCCATACTAGGGTCACGACCATGTTTCTTCATATGACGCCAGTATTGGTTGGTTAAAGGAAGCGGACTCGAAAATGATTAATTAAGTTGCAAGAACTTGCTTCGGAATCGAGCTAGATATACATACGTTAAACTAAACAACGCAATCGAAAAGAACTATCTTCTAGTCATATTTAACTCCCAACCAAAAATATCCTTGACTGCAGGCCAAAGCGTGCACTAGTAATTAGTTGGACAATTCTTCAGTAATCAAGATCATCATGACGTTAACCTTTGACCAAGTTATTTAAAATCCAAATAAAGCATCTACATATCATGTTCAACCTCCACACTAAATGCTAGGACCTTTTGATAAACGCGTGCTGTGGTTATTGTTTGCACAAATTGTGCTCTTTGGACGGACAGACGGTCGCCATACAATGCAATAATCTTTCACTTATTTAAAAGAAGAAAATGGATGGCTAATTAAAAATAAGTCAAATTGTAATAATCATTAATGGAAACAAATACTCGAACATTCTTATTCTTCAACTGAATCATCATATTAGTGATGGAGGTATTTATAGATTTAACTCCGGATGAAGGGAGAAGGCCAATTTACCAGAGCACAGTTCAGCCACCGCATCGTTCCTTGGCAAGCTGTCATTCAGTTTACCAGTACTAGTTGCTTTCAATTTCGTAAGGAACTGATAACTTCGGTAGATGCCAGAGCAAAGATACGTGCGAATGACCGTAGAAAGGATTGTGTTGGAAGATACATGCAACTTGCAAATACCACTACAGTTCATGAACAGGCTCAATCAAACCGAGCCTGCAACATTTTTAATTTGGCGTGTTCAGCTTTCTTTAGGGATTCTATTTATCATGTAAGGTTATTCCAACAAATATACCCGCCTTTAAGTCATACGTGTCCTTAACAAAGCTGCAATAAGACCCGTAAATAAAAACACTTTTTTTGTTTATAGCTTTATTGCAAATCATATATGTTCAAATAGAAGCAGATGAAAAGGAAATAATAAAAAGAAATAACAAAAAGTTATAGAAGGAAGTATAAAAAACAGAAATATTTGTCTGTGTTTTGTTTTGCAATCTATATATAGTGATCAGTCACCGAGTAATTCACAGGGAGCACACTACACACGTAATCTCCCTTCCTGCCACATACGGCGGGCATGCCAGGCTACCACCGCACGACCCTTCTACAAGGAACAGCATGTTGTCGTCATGATTCGCATTACCGTTAAACACCTTCTCCGGGCGCTTGTCTAGGCATACATACTGAGTGGCACTTTTGTCGGAAAAAGACCCGGTCACAAGATAGCCGCTATATTCCATTCTCCAGCCGTTGTAACATTTATTTCTTCCAGGTATCATCACAGAAACACGACTTTGCGTGTGGCATACAGCACATGGAGCATTATGGTTTAACATGTTTCCCCCGAAAAATTCCGCAGCACCGGGCTTATGGTTAGTAAACTGATACTCAACGCCGGTGATTCTCCCGTAGCTGTCGATTTGTCCGTTCTTGTACTGATCCCATAACGGGGTGTCGGTTAAGCAGAGATAGTTAGAGCCAGTCCCAGGGTGGTTCCTATTTGATCCAGCCATAAAACCTAGATATAAATATAAGTTTATGGACGTTAGAATCATTAGTAAAGTCCCTGCGGACCTTTTCTCGGGGTATTTTCATTTTTATATATGATTTTCTCTAATTATGATTAACGACCGTTTACAACAGAAATGGGATTATGTTTGTGGTCCAAGTTCTGGGCAAGTCTTGTTTGAGCGAAGTTGTACGGAAACTGTCTTTTCTCATAATATAGCATCATGCAGTCATTAATCGATGACGTACACATGAACGGACGGCATTCTGCATATTGTCAGAGTAAATCAAAGACAATTATAACCCGAATGTTATGTAATGTTATGACTATTAAAAATGATACCTTATTCAAATGAAAGTACACTTAAAGAAAGTTATATGATTTCACACTGCATAGCACTAACGGATCATTTGGTCCATCGATTATTGAAAAAACAACAAAAAAACAACAACAAAAAGACTAAGATGCTAGACAGAAACCAATTATTGAAAATCATGTTTATGAAACTTATAAGTTACTGTGTAGAAACAACTCACCTGTATAAAGAAGGCTAGTTTCATTATCAGGGCATGTCATTCGTCCCCATCTGATATACGTGTCACCTGCAGCTTCTGTAATGTAATTGTAAATTAGAAAATGTGTACAAAATACCTTTCATAAGACTTTTTTTTATCTCTTAATGATAATGTAGAACTAGCAGATTTTGTGTAAGTAACGTATTTACTTGATTACAAGACGGATCACTTATAAGGCAGGCAACTTTTTTTTATTTTTAAGTTTTCTTTTTGTTAAGATAGGATAAATGACAAGCACAAGTATCATTTAAACTCTGAGATCAAATTGTTTTAATTTATTATTAATGCACTTTTCCTCTGCGTTTCCTATCTTATAAGTTACTTGAACGTGAATTAATTTTAAATAGCCTAATGTGACGTCACATGGTGTTATTTTGATCTTTCAGTTACCCAGTCAATTATTTTCTTTTGCAATATTCTTCAGGGGCGAGAATTCTGTATTGACTTAACAAAACGTAATGTTCTAGTTCTCTCCCCTGGCCGCTTCGCTGAGCATAGCGGTGAAAAATTACATTAAAATGTTGGGTAGTAACACGTGTCCCTTAGTGTAAATTAATAGTGCATATTATCAACCTTGACTTGAAATAACACCCTCGGCTCCACCGGCTCCGTCTCAGGTGTTATTTTTAAGATCTTGGGTTGCTAATAAGCACTTTTACCCGGAGAGACATGTTATTTTTATAATAATATGACACTTCAGAATAAAAAAAAAAATATTAAGCTGAATAAATAAACAATGAAAAATTAAATAAATAAAATGAGATAAAATAAATAAATAAAAATAGATAGATAAAAAAAGTAAAAAATGAGATCAATATAAATAAAATAAATAAAATTTTTGTTTGTTTGTTTGTTTCATTTTACGCTTTTTCCCAACAGTATTTCAGTCATTTAGGCGGGTAGTTTCCTAACCATCGTTCCTGGAGAGTTGCACCAGTACTAGACTACCTTCCTCCGCGCTAAACTACCAAATTAATAAAATAAATAAATAAATAAATAAATAAATACCTTTCTGGTCATTTTTCAGTACATCTACTTCAGTCTTCAGACTCTTTATTTTCCTGTAAGCCGCGGACACTTCGTTTCTTAATAAGATCAGCTCTTCTAAAATTTTGTAATCCCTATCTTGCTTTAAGGTGCACAGTTTTTCACCTTCAGTGGAAATTGGTTGAGCCAAGAGACAGACCATGAAGAAAATCTTCAATAAGAACATAAGATCTTTCATTTTCTCTCGTTTTGACTTGCAGCTGTTCAAAAGTGTGTCTGTTCAAGAGTCTTGTTAAAAACCAACTAAGGATAAATTATCACTTGATTTTTTTTTGTTTTAAGCAGAAATATTTGTTTATATTTTTCTTTCTTCCTTTTAGTTTTTCCATGTATTTTAGCTTTTTTTTACATCTAGTTTCATGCGAGTTTTTATTATGACTGTAATGTTTAAGGTGGTACAAACAGTTTTCTTCTTTCCGTCCACTTTCCCGTGTCTTTCAATTTATTTTATCACTCCGTCTTTATTTTTTATTTTGAAATCATGTTTAGTATGTTAAAGGCCCATTTTGCCTCGGAAATGCTTTCTTTTTATTTATCAAATTTAAGCTTTTTAATTATGGTGTAATTTCATAGTATCCAAAAATGTACTCATTGGCTTATTACTTGGACCATCTTTTTCATCTGTTGCTTTTTAATAATAAGTACATTTATGGTGAATTAGTATTTTGCATGGAAGTCAAAATACTACTTTGTTAAAATTTTACCACTTTTATGCCAACTTATTTCACACTTATTGCTACTTTTCTTATATTACAAGCATCCAACATTCTTTAAAACCATTATCTAAACATTATTAAATTATGTGTGTCCTTTCTAAAGAAGTAAAAATGTTTTTGACTCTGGGGCATGATGTGCCTTTAATTTGGACATGAATTCTGATAAATTCTGGACGCGAATATGTCCGAACATACCGAATTTCCAAGAGTATATTAAATTGAATGCATGGCTTCCCCTTAACTTATGTAATGTTGTTAAAAAACAATTCTTGTACTTCGATGAATTTAAGGAAGTTATTTTATTTAGTTTATGACATAATAGATCTATATCATAAATACTCTTTTCAATATAGTAAAAGATGTACGATAAATAACTTAAGGAAGGTAAAGCACGTGAGACACCTCATCTGTTTATCCTTGTTCGGATTTTACCGAGGTTTGACGAAAAATGCCGAACAGTAAGATCGGTAAAGATGCGCATGAACAATACATTCATCTATTCATCTACATCTATCAAAAGATATTTTGTTTTCCTTCAGTTATGTGACGTAAAGGAAGCAAAATGTAAACTAAGTACTTCTATACAAAATACTATTTCACTATCTTTATACAAATTGGCAAAAGAGCTAAAGATGCAGAAATAGTTTATGTATGTGTAGCAAATGAGTATATTTTTTGAAACTGTAACATGATACCAAAAATTAAACATTTTTTTCGAAATAAAAATGATAGCATTTCTGATGCATGATGGGTCTTTAAAGGGATGTTTTAATGTTAAGCGTTTAGAACTGTTTTTAAGCATGAGGCCTATTTTCCTGTGAAGAATATCCCGAGATGAGCGAACATAAAGTAAAATATTCATTGGTCATTTAAATGCCCATTATGTCCAAAAAATGCTTTTATTTTAACTTCTAAAAATATTTCATATATTTTTTTGTATTTTTTTTTTTTATAGTTTTCCAACAAGTTACTCATTGGCCAATTATCTGAACTGTCGTCTTCTGTTTCTTTTTGGCAAATGGTACATTTATGATGCTTAAGTAGTTGTATAACAGTCAAAATACTACTGTCTTTACATTTTTGCTACTTATTGGACATATTATTTTAAATCTATCGCTATTTTCTTTAGGTAACAAGTATCTGATATGCTCTAAAACTATTATTGAAACATAATATAGTGTTTATTCCCTCACGCGCCCAGAGTGCATGCTGTCATGTCCTTTGTTACTTTACCTCGCAGAAGCACCTCAGGTATATAAACCGTCACAGATCACGTGTTCAGAAACTGACGTGTATGAAAAATTTAGCAATCCGGATGTCGTGCAGATGCATCTAAACGTATTGGAATTTTTTTTCTAGAAAGATTCAATTACAATTCAATCTCAGCTTAGAATTTTTATATCTTGTGTCGTTAGCCTTTTACCTACATGCATGTTTGCCTGCTAATTTATCGGTATTAATACAGGTATAATACGTTATGTATTATTATTTTGCCATAGAGACATGTATAGAGATACAAGTCATGTAAGCCAAGCTGCACGTCCGTGCAAAATGAACCGGCTCTGTACTAATGGCTGACTACCTTTAGAAATTTCTATCTTCATATTCCCAGATTGATAGATATAGATAGAGACTTCTAAACAATGATAGCTTGAAAAGTGCATTTTACAAAGTCAGAAGGTTTAGTCTTACCAGTGTCAGAATTGTCGGCTGCTCAAAGTTGATTTTTTTTGTTTGTTTTTGCAGCCCATCACATTACCTTTTTTATTACAAGTAGGACAAGTCGTACTAGTATATAGACAAGAAATGCATACTAGTACTTTGTGGTAAAAATGCCCCGAGGATAATATTTGCAAACAAAGTGTGAAATTTATCTCCCATATATAATGCATATAAAACGTTTTTGAAACGTTCATATTCTGCAAAAATAAAATAATTCTATTATATACATTGAAAGAAAGGTAGAAAAATCTGTAAACTCAAAATTTTCCTATAAATTAAATACGATCTTTTTAAATTTCAATAGCGAACTTAATAGGATGAAAACTGATAACCCGCTTGGTTTGAATAACTATTGTTGTATATAAATCAATTTAAGACATGTGTATGGAAAATAGCCTCCTTATCAATAAGAATAAGGAAATGGCATATTTTTAAAGTCTGCCCTCTAATAAAAGGGCGGACAAATCTTTGTCTCTTTCTTGTAAGAGAAGGGGAATCCTGTGATGCGTGTATGTGGTCGCACGGTCACTTTCCTTAAAATAATGTCCTCGATGCATGTATGTGGTCGCATGGTCGAATATCTCTAATAAATGACAAAGTCGTTTTTCATAAGCCTAACTCGGACTGTTCTTTTTATAATTAAGTACTTAAATACTCCTAAATATGAGAGATAAGGAAACAGTTTTACTCCCAGATTATTTAGAATTGTTTACCCATAATTAGGAGAAAATCAAAGCACGGAAAGTACTGAAGTATACATTGCTTGATAATATAATCCCCTTTTGTCATCAAAGCCATGTAGATTTTAACCTACTGACCTCGAAAACAATAGGGGTCATCTTCTGACCAAGGTCAATGTCCCTAGCAAGTGACTCACATGCACCAAGACTTTTTTCTTCCAAAGTTATTTATGAGACAAGGAAGATGTAATGTTCCATCTGAGTATTGCTAGGCAAGCTGATAGATGAGCAATAAAGAAATCATTTTTTTGAAACACCCGTTAAATGGACTGCAGTATAGAATATTGAAACAGTCATATTGAGTTTCCAGTGATGCTTTCTGATAAAATACATGATCTGGCTTGAACTCTATACAAAGTCAATTAATTGAATCATCCTACAAGACTTAATTACCAAGTTATAGTACATCTATGTACTGTACTTTTGACGCATAAATAAATATATTCCGATGTGTTGTATGAATCTCTACACATTAATTTTCAAATGCATTACTTTATCGTTTATTAATAAAAATGAAATCTATAATCAAAACAATTCAAATGTACTGTAATATTTTCATTATTCAATAATTGTTACATATAGTCTTCATGAACAACCTTTCCAAGAAATCCATTTATATTGGACAGCAAGTTAACAAGGGGTTTTCCATAATCAGGTTGTGTTACCAACTTCTTAACTTTAGATGAACCATTGAGCTAAAACATTTTTTCTATTTTTTGGCTACTGTGACCTACTTCTGATTTTCAACCAAGGTGATCCATGTTCAAACTCGAGCAAAACCTGTCACACACATTCTTACGATGTTGTGTGACAATTGGGACAAAAGTGTGACCAGTAGAGTGTTAACAAACTAAATGACCAGCATATTGTTAACAACTGTAATGTCATCGTCGGATACACATGGTTGATTAACATTTAACATGACATAACTGTTAAATGTAATGGTTCGGCCGTGGGTATCCGACGATGCTAAATGTGGACAGACCAGAGTTGACATAAGATGGATGGCCGACATTCAACAATCTAAAACCTCACCCTGAGCCAACCTATAAGTTTCACCACTGACTTTTTCATACTGTACTTATTACAAAAAATAACTGACATTTTACAAAGGTAATAAATTTTATGTCATAGTTATTCATTTAAATGGTTGAAAAATGTATTTAGCAGCATTTTTTAAAAAAATATATCTAGTATTTTATTGCAAGTTAAATGTGTTGTTTGTTTGTTTTTGTTTTTTTTTCTTAGGCAGTATCATAGCCGTAAAACAATTTCATACAATGTTTATTACAAAAATATTACTGACATTTTACATTGCTTACACATATAATGTTATAAACATTCATTTAGACGGTTGAAAAATTTATTTAATAGTTCTTATTTTAAAAATGTCATCGCAAGTAAAATGTGTTTTTTGTTTTGGCTTTTCCATGTTTTTGACGCTAGACCGTTACGTAGCCGAAAAACACTTTCATACTGTATTTATAAAAATAACATTACTGACATTTTACATTGGTAACAAAAGAAAGTAATAGTTATTCATTTATAAGGTTGAAAAAAAAATTAATAGCGGCTCTTGCTTTAACTACAACTATGTATTCATTCATGCTAGCAAGCGTATGCGTATATGCGAAGTTTAACGCGTAGGTATAAACTACGATTTTATCAATGAACTGTTATTCTTTGTTTTCTTTAAAGGAGAGTCTATTATTTAATGAAAATGAACTATTTGGAACTTTCAAAGCATTTAAACAACTTTGCAAACACTATTTTAATGACGTGTAGTCGGAATGTAATGCTACTGCAGAATGAAGAACTAGTTTCTATAGCGGTTTTTATCCGGGAGTGGATGTTGTTCGGTAACGACATAAACCTTGATATAGCTTATAACTCTGTATACAAAAACCTAATTACAACTGCGTTACTCTTAATAAGGGTTTAAAAGCCTAACTACGAAAAAAATATTAGGAGTAGAGATAAAAAAATCTCAATTAGGACTAATGATGAGCTCCAAAAGCCGAAATAAAAACCTAATTTGAACTTTGAAACTTATCTTTCGTGCCAAATAAGAATTTTATTTCTCTAAAACTCATTATATTCGTCTTCCATAAATTAAAAACGTCACACTAAAACAGTTAAGGTCATATAAATATAGCAAAATTTCCAGCTTTACTGGTGGAGGAAAACGTCTTGTGTTTTTCCATGCACGAACGGATTACTTCCTCACATGAAATAATTTTAAGTCCCTGGTGGGATTCGAACTTACAGCAGCGAGGGGCAAATAGATGGACAATAGTCCAAAAAGTACGCAAAGCATAGCACTTAAAAGATGAGTATTTTAAGTGAGTAGTATATGCACCTAACATGTACCCGAGTTGCATTCTATATACTTGAATCAATTTTATTTACACTTTGATTGCTAACAAAAAAGGACATTTAAAGTGCAATGGTCTATGATGGCAAGTATGCACTACCACAGTTGATTCTTGTGATAACAAACCATAAAAGAATCAAAATATATTATGTAGATGTTGATAATAAAATGTTCCAAAACAGAATATAAGTAATTTATCATGTACATGTATGTGTCATATTAAATCATGTAGAACTACACGAAATATTTTGTAAGAATATCCAAATGATACGTTTCTATTGTTTTTTTTATCACTTTAGAATATTTCTTGAAAATGTGCCAATTGTAGACCAATCCATTTAAAAAAGAATGTTTCATCTTGGGTCGGCAGATGTATTTGGACATTCCTTTATGCCCCAAAATTATTAAATATGTGCGAACTCTCACACAATGTTAATAGTAATTTAATTCAACTCGCTAACTTAATTTAACTTAATTTCATCATGAATATACATCTTGCGACATTTAACGTTATTTTTGCGACATTTAACGGCAGAAGATTTTATGACATTCAGCGGCGGTGGCGACATTTAGCGGCATGGGTGCGACATTTAGCGGCGTTGTGATATAAAACAGCACCTCATTATGTACTCACAGACTAAAAGTATTTATTTATATCGCTTTTCTCATTGTAGGCTGAAAACCATGTGGAAATATGTTTTTATTTATATCACTTCTGTACCCAATATTTTCATTGGGGATCAACTTCATATGGATCATCAAAATTTACATCGGTTTGAATTATATGTTGGTGTCCGGTCAAACATATGATGGTTAAACTCCAATATAAGGACGATATTTTCAGGAAATTGAAAGGTAAGTTTTTTTTTACAATTTTGAATTATTTTTGTAATTATGAACTTTCATTTTAAAAAAAATTAAATGCTTTTCGACCCATACATAATTCATTCTATGTGTTGTTTTTGACGCAGTCTTTCTTTTTGGAAAGGTGTGTCACACATTTAAAATTTCGATAAAGAAAATATGACCGAAAATAGGTTCAAAGCACTAAGCAATAACATAATTTTGACCTGCAATAATGTAAAGCATACCAACAAACCCGTGTTCGATCAAATCTTTCGAAATCAGCAAAGAAAAAGTTAATTAAAGCCGAAACACACTTTTTGATCCATATGTGCTTATGTGTTCCATATCCAATACATACACTCATTATGGTATAACATTCAATTTGATGATATTAATATTTCAAGGTTACTTGTATATGTTTTATTAATATATTTGACAAACCTTGTCAGAGTTTTAATTGCTAAAAGTCCATCTATTTCATTGAATTTAATGCTGGATACGGATCACATATGGAACCCCTTATGTATTTTATTGATAGTGTGTTGTGCTAGATTTAATTTAATATGCATTTCGAACTTTATTCCTTTCACCCGATTCTGATTTGCAAAGAAATTATCAAACAAGGTAACTCAGAATTGTAAGACTAATGTAATAGTTCAATATCGTTCTCATATGCGAGTTTTATTATTCTTTTTTTTATTTTATGTTTTACCGGAAACATTTCGGTGAACCATAAGAAGGTTGTTACCCGTGATTTTCATACCTAATAATGCACAGGCAATAAGAAATCAATTAAAATCTACAGGCTTTAATAGGGGATTAATGCACATTTTTTTTTCTCGGATTGAATTTTAGGCTTTGACTACTAATACAGCCTCGTGCTTCTACAGATGTTTATTTGGACGAAAAAAGTACATATTTTGTTCGATTTAAGAGAAAACAATCAATGTATACTATATTACTTAGTTTGATTAGAATTAAAATTTCTTTTTCAAGTATACATTTTGGTTCATATCAAGTTCGTTTGATTACATTCCATAAATGTCCATACTTTCCTTTGTCATTCAGACATAATCAAATATATTAAAACACTTCAGTTCAGGTATTCACATGTAACCAAAACTTAGCTTTTCACAGTTTGCAACTTGCTCGGAAGCTTCGAAGCTTTTCTTAATGTCTAAAATGAACCATGCCTGCACGACCTACATTGTCTCTTTTTCAGTTTACTCAGACGTTTTAGTGGCTTAAGTGTCAAACGTAAGTCCAGCTTCTTGTACTTCTTTCAGGAGGACATCAATCTTTTCTGATTCTTCAGGTGTAAGTATATGTTTCCATACTCCAGATTTACCTGAAATATAATATGACAACGTATATTTGTTACTGAATAAAAATCGTATAATAACTGTCTTAAGAATTATGAACTAAAATATAAATCGTTACACATCGGCTAATGTCGGATTATATTGTAATAACCCGAAGCCGCACCTATTTGACAGAATATTTTGTTCACGTGAAAGGGTTGTTTTCCACTATGACGACATTATTTGATAAAATTCCAATATGGCGTCTCGAATTACATGCTCATTAGGGTCCCTAAGCCTTAACAATTTAATTTGAAACAAATCTGAATAAAATAATTGTACCATGTGCCGGTACATAATCATTTCATATTTACTGCATGTTCAAATAAATCTTGACAGAGAAAGACTGATACCAATGTGACCGGAAATGACGTTGCTAAAGTACAGTTATTACGTCAACTAATGGGTTGAGTACAAAGAGGTTTATATATCAAAAGGGTCATTGTACATGTCAGTGTATCTTGATCTTGTTCTTGTGCTTGGCTTGCAAGGACTTTACTAGTATGGTTCCCTGCCTACATTTACTACGGAAAGCACCATCGGAACATCCTCGACTATTATCTATAATAACTTTATCCGAAGACTGACGGAAAGGGCCGAAAAGTTGCGATTGCGGAAAGTAGTGAAAGGGGAAGGAACTCCAGACTAGGATTTTACAAGAGCGAATCACAGTCGGCGTATTTAGATTTTATATTCTAATACTGTGTAGACAGAAATCAACATAGAAATGCAAATCAATATCAGTTTTTGTCATTGCAAGAACTTTGAAAACATACTATCACCTTTGTTTATAAATCCTCCGCCAGCCTCATCGTTTACATTCTTAAATTCTCTCCAATAAGACAAATTCACGTTTTCATTAGTCTTCATATTTTGCACACTGCAATGATCACATATTCTAGCAACGTTCTCATCCAAAATCTCTTTCCCTAGAAACTTTGCAATTGTTCTTACACCATTTGGCAAGTCCTGGTTCATAAGAGAATTGTTCATACATAAGTCTAAAATGCCGTTTTAGAAAAATTTAACGTATTAAAGACATAACTACAAAAAGTGTTATAAAATAAAATTGAAATATTACATCGAAAAAAAAAAGAACTTCTTTCTTCTTTGTAAGGTCTTAGTCATTTTTCAGATTTCATGTGACAGTTGTAACGTTTTCTGCTAGATAAAACACTAAAAGGAAAGTACTCACTTGTGCACAAGTTCGGATTCAAGAGTAGCCCCACGAACGTTACATGCGCTTGCTTGCGAACCAAAGAGTTTTGACAGTTTTTCTCAGGTCTTTAATTTATAACAAAGGTACATCATTATAAAATGTATGCCACATATTCATGATACGATACCTTGACGAAACACTAGTTGACCCTTTGGAAACTACAGTTTGTGATTAAGCCATCTTGTGTCACAAGGAAAATACAAAAATAAAAAAAAAATAAGAATCCAAAACGGCAAAATTGAAAATATTGCAGGCTCGGTTTGATTGAGTCTGTTCATGGACGGTAATGTCAAGTGCAAACTACCGCCCATGCCCCCTAGCACCGGTTGAAGCAGAATTCAACATTTTAAAAATGAAATGGCACACTTTTTAATTTAGAAACACCCACAGACTAGCACTGTATACCATACAAACAAACCAGGCATTATTCTGTTTACTGTTCCATTTTTCAAATTTGACAACAAAATCCCTTACAATAATTCAAAAGAGGGGACAGGTTCATTTTACTATACATGAATTTGTTGGGGGGGGGGGTGGTCATTGAATTACATCTTTGCTTGTTGATCTTTAGCATGAAAAAGGTTAACAAAGGTAATATACCTTTATAAGGTTCTCGTATTTTAAAAACAATACATTGCTATCATTCCTCCTTTCCCAGTACTTCAAAACATGTCTCGGCCATGGACAGTGAAGTGCTAAACGAAATAATAAACCACAATAGTTATGTATTTTTGTAAATCGATGTTATATACTCAGTAATCATATTTATTGTAAATAAAAAGCCCAAAAGATTTTCTGAAACAAAACAACTGAATTGAAGTCGTCATGAACTTATAGTGCAACAACTTGGTGATACTTATGACATGCAAATCAAGGCCACGGACAGTGTAGGTAGTGCTAAACGAAACAATAAATCACAATTATAGCAATATCCTTTTGTAGATCAATGTTATATAATCATATTTATTGTAAATAAAAAGCCCAAAAGATCTTCCGAAACAAAATGGTTGAATTGAAGTCGCCATGAACATCATACGCAATGGCTTGGTGATACTTATAACATGCAAATAAATGTGTATTAAGCAAGAGCAACAAGGCCTTATGTTTCAGTGTACGAACAATCTACGTTATCCGAAATTGCACTTGTTTCTTTTGATTTAACTGGCTTGAGAGATTTTTTCCAGAACTTTTAGAAGACTTGCTTCTCTTTCCACTTCTTTTTTTTTTTACTTTTATGACATTATGATGCTAGACGTACCAATGAGTTATCTGGTCAAAAGTTTTCCATGGATATGCAATTTCTAAAACTTTGCATTGCATAAGTTTTGTGACAATTTGGATGGCGACTGTTTTGTTTTCCGTTCTTCTTTGCTGTTTCAAACTGAGACAAATACGTTGTTTTAAATTGCTTTAAAATACAGCAGAAATACCAGTTCAACATTCGGACCTCTTCTGTTAATTACTATACGTTGTTTTTTCAAAGTGGTTTTAAGTACAGCGGTAAAACCTTCCGGTAAGCTCTATAGGTAGGGCGTGAATCGGGCGACCCGGGTTCGATCCCCGGACGAAGTTGTTCACTTACGGTGTGATTGATCATGAAATCCTTTCCACGGTCATTCGCCCTGTACCTCTGCTCTGGCATGCACTTAAGTTATCAGTTCCTTGCGAAAGTGAAGGCAACTAGTACTTGTAAACTGCTTGACAGGCTGCCCAGGAACGATACGATGGCTAAACTGTGCTCTGATCAATTCAATTGGGCTTACTGCCGTGATCCTGTGTGAAAAGTACCAACACTACCACCAGTACAGCGGGGATATCATTTCTCAACTCGGACTACTTCTGTTACTTAATTGAACGAAACAAAGCTAAATAATCACAGTTTTGGTCTGATCTAACTCTTACTAGATTATCTTAAATAGTACAAGGTATACCTTTTCCTTCAACAAACGAGTTGAAAAATTTTGGCCAAGTATCATTATAGTCTCTTAACTCATTCAGCCATTGTAGCAAATGAAAGTAAGAAGTGATCACATCTTTCGGATTTCGTGCCAAGTAAATTATCTGAAAATAAAATCAACAAGGAAATGGTTAAGAAGTATTTAAACAGCTTCAAGCATAGATAATACACTGGTCCACTAGTGTAATATACTTATAAAGTTTAAATGTTGAAACATTGATGAAATATGAAAATATTGAATGAGCACGTTTTTTATTTTTCTAAGTTTTATCTTACCCGACCCTTTCCGTTTTGCAGTTGTTCCGGTAAAAAATCGAAATGCGCATGCGCTTTTACCATACGGGGAGACTGCATTTCTTCAACATGTTTCACTCCTGAAAGTGTTGGAAAATCAAGAAGTAAAGAATCTTATTACAACTTTCTGGATATGAATAAGATTCTATGGAAAAAAAATATTAACAAATACTACTGAAAATAATAAATAGTCAGATCGTCGGATGAAAATACATGCAGCTCTCGGTCGAGCATTGAAATTCTCTTCTATTAAATATATCACTAGCTTCGGATCGTCTTTGGTTTTATCCAAAGTTCTCGCCGCGTGAGGTCGGTACTTTGGGCAAAAAGGTACCTGTGGCCCTTTCACAGGTACTACAAATGTAACAGTACAGAGGAGATTCCATTATAAAAACACATATCAAATAAGAAGAACTTTAAGACATTGATATAAAGATAATGAAGACGAAGCCTAAAGAAAATCGTCAAGCTTTGATTTTATTCCCATAAAGCCATATTATATTGAACATTACATTTTTATTTTTAGAAATGTAGATTTTTTGGACAGATTATGCGGCAAAGTAAACATTGTTCTTATGTTTGAATACTTACGAGTGCCGTGAAGGTTAAAGATTGATAATTTGTTCTTATCTTTACTCGAATACTCATGAATGTCGTAAAAAATAAAAAAAATGATAATTATTTTCATATATTTACCTCTGTAGTAGGGAAATTTATCGTTCTTTACATCAATGATCGGAAACCTGTCGTCTAACTGTACTGAATTTGCCTTCTCAAAATCCAGGGTCATCACAAGGTACACTATTTCCTGTGTCAAAGTGGTCCCTGTAGAAAGTAAGCTACCTTTTATTGCAATGCTGGCGACTCTTAATGAAGCCCAATGAATAAATCTTTTGTCAATATAAGCAATAAGTAAAAAAGAGAAATATTTTAAAGGCCCATTGTGTCTCAGAAATCAATCATTTTGTATTCTTTAAAAAAAAGTCAAACATGCGTTTTAATAATGTTTTAATGTTTTAAATAAAGGATTCGATGCATTTTAGATGTTAATTGAGCAAGTTGATTTGATTGTGCGATATGTGTCATAAATGTTGCAATATGTAAACAAAGTAGTATTTTGACTTCCATACAAAATACTTAATTACTGTAAGTATACCAGTTGCCAAAGTGCAAATGGAGCAAAAGATAGTTTATCTGTATGACCAGTGATTAACCTTTTGGAAATTGTAACAATATTCCAAAAATGAAAGAATTTAGGAAATACATGTAATAGCATTTGAAAGCGGAATGGGCCTTTAATCTGTCGACAAATATCACTTTTACCATCGAACAAAATTGTTAAACGGAGAATGATTTGTGCTTTGTCATATGACCGTGTTCCTGGGTCGAAAAGACGTATTGTCAGAAGCACGATAAAATAAGAACTGTCAGTGGCTAATTTTTGTCTTTTCTATCGCGATCTTTGCATTTCTGCACGAAATCACGCGCTGACAACATGATTATCGCCAGCTATTATATCAAACATGTTTTTACGTCATGTATATTAAATAAGCCTGTTGGAGATAAAAAAGGAGAGTCAAGTATCTACTTGACAGTATTATTTGAGCCGTGTCTCGACAAAACCAACATAATGGGTTTGCGACCAGCATGGATCCAGACCAGCCTGCGCATCCGTGCAGTCTGATCAGGATCCATGCTGTTCGCTAAACAACCCTTTTACAAGTCGAGAAACTGATAGCGAACAGCATGGATCAAGATCAGACTGCGCGGATGTTGGTTTTGTCGTGACGCGGCTCATTTATTCTTCGCCTTTTAAAGTAAATAAGGAGATATTAACGTAGTTATCACTGTGTTAAATTTTGGTGATTTGCACTTTTTGTACTCATTTCTTTTGTATTAAAGGCACATTATGCCTCGGAAATAATTGATGTTTACTTCTTAAGAAAGGGCAAGCATATGGTGACCGGTTGCGGCCATTTCAAACCAGTGAGAAATCTTATCGTTTTATCGAAAAATGTCGCTGGCAACTTACAAGTCCGCTAGATTTTCTGCCGAAATCGTACAAAATGTCGCGGGGAATCGAACGTGTAAACTTCGATATTGTAGAAAAGTTGTTGGAAACAGCGAGCTTCAGTGGCCAGTAGCGTCCATGGATTGACTCTAAATTTTATCCCGCGTTTGTCTATAAAAAGTCGATGAACAGAAAGAATATCGCGACATATTTTTGCAAATGTTGTAGAAATTCTACGAAAGTCGAGCGAAAAATTATAGGCCGCGACTAAATGTTCGTCAACAACGACTTTTCCATAAAAAGTCGCGGATATTTCCCGAAGCTTAATGCTCAAACTCGACTTTTTTCAAGGTATGCATCAAAACAAAATATCGCGGATTTAAATGGTCGCAATCGGCCACCTTAAGTAAGCATATGTTTGCGTGGCTTAGTCAACTATGTAGACAGAAAATGTCGCGGTTTCCTTCGTAAAACTCGATTTGTTATACCAGTAGTGTTACAGAAAAACTTGCAAGTTTCTGTTAGCCGCGACATTGTATACAATTTTCACATAAAGTCTTGCGGATTTAAAAGTTGCCCGCGACATTTTATAAACTGACGGTGAAATTTCTCGCGGCTTTATAATGGACACAATCGGCCACCATACAAACATGACTTTTAAAATGTTTAAATAATGGTTCAATGTTAGATTATTACTGTAGAAAGTAGCTTACGGAACGTCGGTAGCTTTACTCTTCATCGCGCGTACCTGAAATAATGCAGAGGACAAAAAAAGCTCCGTTTTTCAACTTTGAAATGCATATGAAGTTCACACCCGTTGTAAATAGATAGTAAAACAAAACGATGACTTGCCTGATCTAGGAAATGTACACACCCATACATCATCGTCTCGCATCTCAAACTTTTGAATTTCATCAATCTCACATTTTGCAATCAAAATCCCTTTATGCATCATTACATCAAGTGTAACATCTTTTTTGGTGTCAGTAAGAGCCTCGTCTTTAGAAATTTCACCGCTCATTCTGTCCGTTTTCAGTGTAATTTATACCTAAGTATCAAACATATAACGACACTTCTCAACAGTTCCCTCTTTAATCTAATACGTACATGTCAATCGCAGTATCTTTGATTATGATAAAAGTGTATAAACTGTTGACATATTTTCGACATAAGTTTAAAACTTTTAAAATGTTTACACTGTTCAGCCGTCACGATTATAAAAATGTCAGTTGAGTTCATTTACATTCCGACTTCACAAGCGATGACCTTGATATATATTTGAACATTATCTGATATCTACGAAAGACCGGTAGGGCTATTTCAACTTCATGAATTTGGCGAATTTACGATTTCAACTTCACGAGTTCACGATTTCAACTTCATGAATTCACGATTTCAACTTCACGAATTCACGATTTCAACTTCATGAATTCACAATTTTAAACTTCATAAATTCACGATTTCAACTTCATAAATTAACGATTTCAACTTCACGGATTCACGACTTCAACTTCATGAATTCACGATTTTAACTTAATGAAATGTTGAAATGTCCCTACCCGATTTTCGTAGATACTCATTACCTATGCTGCGTCAGGTATATCTTTGTCATAATGTACATGTAATAGAATAATGAACGAATATCTGAAAATGACTGGTTATCTCTTTCTCTGTCGTCCCAGAAAAATAAATGAGCCAATCAATGGACATGCTCTGGAGTGCGGATAAATAATACATGCACTCCAGATAATGCAATGTGCATGTATATGTATACGGCTTAACTCTGACACATTTTCAACAGAAAGGTCTTCAAACTATGATACAAGCCTATATTGATGTGCATTAAAAACAATTATATGTTATGAGGACCTTTCTATTGAAAATATGTCATAGTTAAATTGTATACACATACATTTTGCAAAGTGTTAACTGGAGTGCAAGTATAAGTTACTCGCACTCCAGGTACCACGCTGTCTGTATGGAATGAAAATACAGCATGCTCGTTGATTGACTCTTTCTCTGCTCTTGGGTTGCCTCATTATGACGATAGGGAAAGGGATAGCGAAAGTAAAATAATATTCAGATGCTCGTACATTGGTTACTTATTAAATTGAGGTTTTACATTGTGACGACAGGGAACATGTTTTTATTTTTGCCTCGTATATATCAGACAGCCTCGTGTTTCGATTCTTTTTCTATTGCATAAACAACAAAAACAAATTTTTACGAGCTACTTCTTGTACTAAGTGACAATGATTGTGGCGGGGTTGATTCTCGGAATCTGGTACATAAATAAACTACTTTGGTTTTGATATTTGTCATATTTAAAAAAAAAAAAAAAAAGTTATTGTTAACATTTGATACACCCGAAAGAGTTTTGGCGTATATTTTTATTCATCTGGTTGTCAGCCCGTCCGTCTGGACGTTCCCCCCGTCTGTTAACATGTTTTTGTTAACAACGCATTGGTCAATTTTGAAACTTAGACTTTTGAAGGTCCTGCATAATGGACACTATGCAGAAACCAAAGATTTATTAGACTAAGCCTCATTCTAATTGTTCCAGTTAAATAACTGGACTCGGCAATTTGGTTAAATTCACCACCAGTCATTTAACTAATGTTAATGATGGATTCAACTATAAGTTTGTAAATAAAGGATACTGAATAAGTGAATTTATTGAACGAGTTGAATAAAATCATATTATGCGAGCATCTGGCAAGCATACTGTTATTTAATTCAACGAATTCAATAGTAATGATTTTACACGAATTTAATATTCTATTTACCACATACCAAAATTAAGATCGTTTGAAGTAATAAAGAAACATTTATCATTGACGCGCCTATTATTTAACGCTAACATTTAGCGCGTTCTAACGCTATGTTTATATAACGTAAATGACGTCACGTCAAAATATATGCATGGCTGTGTAATTTACCATTTTTTACGGAGTCGCAAAATCGGCACAGGAGTGTGATAACTTCTATCGCGGTGGCGGAACTTTTGTTTTATTTTGTTTAAAGCGCTTAATCATATGTATGTTAGGAGGCAATATGAGCCTTTTCAAATGTAAGATTTCAAAATTTGGTCAGATTAAAGTTAAAGTTATGACCTATATTAACGATAAAATATTAAACGATCAGCTGATTGAATGATAACAACTTTTCTGTGATAACATGAGAACAACATTTAAACATTCTTAAACATAAGTATATACATAATATGATATAGTAGCATGACTTTAGACCCTAACACAACTTGAAAGTAGAGCGGACAAACAGGTCTTAAGTTTCAAAGTATGTTAACTGATAAATACATAGAGGATATTCAATTTTTTTTTAATTTTTTTTGTAACTGAATTAATTTTTATCAGCTAGTATGAAAATGAATATTTCACGCGTGGCGATAGCAACGAGTGATAATGATAATTTTCATACCACAGGATGAAAATGAATCCCATATTCCCATATTTATGGTAAAAAAACTGCTAATTATATACCTATTTTCTCGTGTTTTTATTTTTTTAAATAAAAGAAATGATAATATGAAATTGCATTACATCAATATTTCTCTATACTTCATTGATAAGTACATAATAAATGATTTTATATATTTTGAAAAAAAGGGAATTGTTAAGTATTGTTAACATCACTTAATTTTATTAAATAACTAAACTGTACGAAGGATGAGCGGCTTAACTTCAAAGCATGAGCGTCATGTGGAGACTAAAACTAATTTAACATTGGATTGGATGTCGCACAAAGGAGTTGTAATTCTAAAATGTGAAATCGACGACATCCATGGTCTTCAGATGCGAGACGATGATATATGGGTGTGCACTTTTCCAAGATCAGGTTCTAACTTTATTTTGCTAACTATTCCCATTTCTTAATTTAACCAATCAGATAGTTCTGATTTATTTAAGCTCGATGACGAAACAAGTTCTTGCAACCTCAATTAATCCCTTTTTGAGTCCGCTTCCTGGAACCAACCAGTACTGATGTCATATGAATAAACATGTTCGTGACACGAGTAGGGCTCGAACCCATGATATTTGGGTTTAGAGGCAGATACCTTAACCACTAGGCCACCGCTCCCTTATTATCATTTCATATTGGATCAATTATAAACACAATCTATTTAGAATTATCTGATTGGTTATTTATAACCAATCAGATAATTCTGATTTATTGAAGCTCTACTGGGAAACAAGTTCTTGCAATCACTTTCGAGTCCGGTTCCTGGAACCAACAAGTACTGGTGTCACATGAAGAAACATGGTCGTGGCACGAGTAAGGTTCGAACCCATGATCAGAGGAAGACACCTTAACCACAAGGACACCGCTCCCCTTACATTATCTGACTTTAAAGTAAAAGATAAAAGAAAGAGGCCATGCGAACTTACAGAAGCCTTTGATAATCAATAGAGTTTGATTATACCATGTATAATTTTGCTCTCCTATATGTTTCTCTTTTTCCTTTTAATATGATTATACCCATCCCTTCAAGTGCTGGATTTTTGTTATTGACGTTATCTGCCTGTCTATTGATAATTTGGCATTTAACTTGATGGGAATATTGAGGACAAATTCATTTGTCATACAGAAAGCGACTTCATAGTTTTGTATTCTACAGCTGTACCAAACATCTCTCAATTTATGTAATTGTTTTTAAATTCTCTCTTTAATTGAAAAGTTTTCTGTCAGAAAACAGAAAAGTAGGCTCTATATGCTTTAACAATAAACGTATTTATTTTACAAACAACAACAACAACAACAACAACAACAACAACAACAACAACAACAGCAACAGCAGCAGCAGCAGCAAAAAGAGCAGCAGCAGCAGAAGCAGCAACATCAACAGTGTTTTATGCGTGTACGCTATCAATATCAACAGATTTCACAATAATTTTATTGGTACATGTATATAGTTTTTCACCTTCTAAGCTTTGGTTTAACTTATACTAATTTAAAGTAACTTTAACTTACAGGGACCACGTTGACACAGGAAATCGTGTACCTGGTTACGACTCTGGATTTTGAGAAGGCAAAGTCTGTTCAGTTAGACGACAGGTTTCCCATGATTGATGTCAAGAACGATCAATTTCCTTACTACAGAGGTTAATATTAAATTTAAATATTTCATTTCACCAATTCATGAGCATTTCAGATTTATTGACAAATTTACGAACAGAACACCGGTTGAATCATCAGATAAAAATGGCGTCTTATCTTATTAATCCTTTTGCTTAAAGGACAATTAATCATTTACCACCTAATAAGAGTTATAAGACCTTTAGTCTGGGACATAATGAACAACAACACTGAAATAGGATAAAGGCTTTCGCAGTGTTTTAATATCGTTTAATATACATCAATACAAAATATAACACCTTTTTGTCTTCGGAAGCTGAACCTCTTAACTAGCTCACAGCCTGCAAAATAAACTACAAAATGTATTATTTTGATTATTAACATGTCGATATCTACGGATTGCAATAATCAAAAGCTTTACTGCCAGTAAGGTTAACAGACATGCTTTTCTTTATTCACTGACTGAACATTTGGATTATCTTGATGTAAGTAAATAAAATAATGGCTATTTTAAGTGAGAATAAATTGTCTAAGCCTGAGAAATGTTAAAGGGATACGTGGGTGGGTAATATGTTCAATATAATGCAAAACCTCGAGTGACGTATCCATCCGCCAGTGAGCAAGAACTTATCTTGCTAAACTATGACACAACTAATTAAACCGTACATCTATAACTCTTTCATTTACAAAGTTACACAAATACGTCTTATCTTGAATTTTTATCGACACATTTAAGTTCAGTAAAGAAATGATGAGTTTATGTAAAAGGAAGCAATACAAGTATTGTGAAAGTTTTAGGGTACCATTTAGAACGTTATAAAAATACTTCGAAGTTGTTTGTGCAATCGAGTCTCAAAGATATTCATTGTTTATTTAATGATTTGTTTTTAATATTAATTTTGCTTTTATTTGCTTATATTTCATGTTCAATTATTTATTTATATATTTAATTTATTGAACTTTTTTTATAAAATGCTTTTTATAAACAAAATGTTTCCTTCTTTTTTATAATTTTTTTTAATTATATATTTATTCCATTTTTTGCTTTTTCAACTTGTTTTTGTACTAAAAGTCTTTATCGTTCTATTTTTTATGAAATTCACAGTTTTTCAGTTCACTCAATTCATTGAAATCCTTTGCAAACCCAACTTTTTCAGGAGTGAAACATGTTGAACAAATGCCATCGCCCCGTATGGTAAAAACACATTTGCATTTCGATTTTCTACCGGAGCAGCTGCAAAATGGAAAGGGTCGGGTAAGAGTAATTTTATAACATGGAATTATGTAAAAAAAAAAGAAAAAAAAAAAAAAAAAAACAAAAAAAGAAAAGAAAAAAAAACAAACAAAAAAACAAAAAACAAAAAAACAAAAACAAAAAAAAAAAAAACAACAAAAATTGAGTCCATCTCCGACTGTTTTCATGTTTTTATTTTGTAAGGAAAATGTTTATGTAGAAAAAGTCAAAATTGACTACTTTAACAAGCTCTGTTTTGCTTAAATACACTTTCACGTTTATTAATGTCATGATGTTAAATAACTGATGCGCGTAGGCTAGTACTTAATATCTTTTTGCTTTGTATGTTCGATTTGTTTTGTTTTAGTTTGTGTAAAATTGGATATTATAATTGCAATTAACAGGTAGGAGACGACTCGTATATATGTGTTACAGTAGATAATAAGATACCAAAGGTCCTTACGTTTAAGGTTCATGCCAATGCAATGGATTGGGCTTAGTGAATTTTCCAGTCGTAAGTGTGTCTAAAATTTGTGTCTGGTCAATAACTGCTGCATGCAAGATGGAATTTTACAAGAAAAAAATGGTACATACTATCATCATAAGAACACTGTGTGTCTTGTTTAACACGGGTATACGTAATAGAATAGGTGGCAAATGTGTCGCAATACTCAGGCCTTTAGATTTGTAATGTGCAACATCAAGGTCAGCAGCAATGTCTTTAGATCATGGCTTGTCCAAATATTTTAGGATATGTCTTCTAAACAGCCAGATATGCATTGCGAGCAGGACCAATTTTCGCACAAAAAATTCAAGGTCACGCCTGGATGTCAAATTGTATGCAACCGTTTCTCTCTCCCTGTCTGATAACTTCTTTTGCACGAGTGCCTTTACCATGGGCATGGAGTTGTGTTGCACAACAACACCCAGTGTGGTCAAATTTCACATTGCAAGGGTATCGTGCGGTGGGGACATATCTTTAGATTTTGTATATTGTACATGCTCATACATACCTGATATCTTACGGACTGAAGTAGTGTATGTCAGGTTAGCAATGTGTACATAATGTGTATCTATCTTTACATTCTTAACTCCGTGACATAGTTTTACTGCATAAAATGTCAAGATATCGAACGTTCTACTTTTTCTTCGGAGTTCGGAGTAGGTTAATTAATTGCCCAACGCAACAATCACATGACCATATTAACTTGTTACCTTTAGTATTTCTCTTAACTTGATATAATTGCTTTTTAAAACTCAATTTAATTCCGGTTTATATTCAGATAATTTACCTGACTCGAAATCCAAAAGATGTGATAACATCTTACTATCATTTGCTACAATGGCTAAATGAGTTAAGAGATGATGAGGAGACCTGGCCGAAATTCTTCAACTCATTTGTTGAAGGGAAAGGTACATCTTGTGCTATTGTATTTAACTTAGTATTGGGTGTTTTGCAGGGTTCAATTATGGCACCCTATTTGAAGGAGTATAATTATTTTGATAAAGGGCCTGAATGTGATCTATTTATTAATGTGTACTGGTATCGTTACTTTAACGGAACTCTTACCTGTATTGACATCAGTTATCCATATATCCTGAACCTCTTAAACCATCGCACACTTCTTAAAAACACATTGACCTTATTGACCTTAGATGAATTATCGTCACATAAATCATGACAACAAACATCAGACTTTACTATTTAATGTTAAAAAAATTCAAAAATAGAAAGATCTCAATTGGCGGGCAAAAAAAGGTGAACATATAAGTCAATGATTTAAGCGGCGATGTAGTGTTAATTATTCATTAGCATCCTTATTTTATTGGTTTCTTTTCTGTGTATTCTATATATTAATAAACATTTCTATAGATTCTTTATTTTTAGGTCTATTTTGTCCGTGGCCAAGACATGTTTTGAAGTACTGGGAAAGAAGGAATGATAACAATGTTTTGTTTCTAAAGTACGAGGACCTTATCAAGGTATATAGTTTTGGTGAACATCAGTCATTTATTTGAATCTCTAAAAATGACATCTACCTTTGTATAGAACTGGTTATAGTTTAATGTCTTGTTGAATTGCATGGACGTGCAAACTTTTCTAAGACATGTAAGATACAAATATTGCTGATATAAGAAACCTATTTTTTTGCCCTTAGCTTCTAGTAGTGAAATAGTATTTTCGCTGGTATTTGTTCCCTTTGTCTTGTTTATTTGAAGTCTGTGAATAATAGATATAAGTCTTCTGCCAGTAAGCTGGAACGTCGCCATATGACCGATAATGTATTGGTGCGACGTAAAACCCGACACAAAAATAACATTGCGCGCAATAGCTAGTAGAATATTGTTTTCCCGATCCATTAACTATGAAGTGCTGTCAAGATAAAAATAATAACCATGTGTCGTAATATAAATACTCATTACTTATTTGTCTTAAATGTTGAGTTGTTTGTTAAAAGTGAAGATTAATATGTATTTCTATATCTGAATGTACAATAATTTTTCTCTTTCTTATTGGCGTCCGTCACAGATAATTCACTTTCTACTGTTTGCAATGAGTCCAATTTTACTGTCACTTTACTAACAAAAACCTTGAAATCTTTGCTAAAAATCATTTTATTGTGATAGGACATATATAACTATCAGGCGAATAATCCCCTTAGTCTACTAACCTAAATTTGGCAGCTTTGGCAACGTTATGCAAGCATGTTCGAACGCGCAATCTTATATCTTAAGGCCCTTTACTTTTGGCAGCTATTTTTTTTGTATTTTGATATTGGACTCCTGACGGTTTTAAATGGACTGCTCTAAATTAGTAAAGGCAAAGCATTTCCATAACTCATACTCAGCAAATTAAGCGTAAATATACCACAATTTAAGAACCTGTCACAACTATTGTAATTTCGTAAGCAACAGTTTGGTTCTGAGGTTGGTCCTTTAAATATAATGCATATGACTAAAAATGTTGTTCTGGGACTAATTAATTGCATAAGCGTAATTTTTTCAGGACTTGCAAAAAGGTGTGCGAACAATTGCAAAGTTTCTAGGGAAAGAGATATCGGATGAAAATGTTGCGAAAATATGTGATCACTGCACTGTGCAAAACATGAAGACTAATGACAAAGTCAACTTGTCTTATTGGAGAGATGTTAAAAATGTGAATGACGAGGCAGGTGGAGGATTTATAAATAAAGGTATTTTTATATATGTTTTTACATTCAGAGTATGTTAAAAGGTGAATATATGAGTTAAAAACAAACCAAATTTACCACCACATAGGTAGCACCACCATGTTTAAAGAGATACTATGCTCATTTTTAAGTAAAGTAATTTTATTGCAGTTATTATTGAAATCTTGACAATTTGTACTGAATATGCCGTGTTTAGATACAAGAACTTACAAACATTGAATCAAAATCTGCGTTTTGTATAACGGATCAAGAAAAGCTGGTTATTTCGTACTTTTCTTAAACAAACCCAGGTGGTTTGTAGTGAACGACCTTAACTGATCGGCAGCGGACGCCCCTCGTGTTATGATACTTTTCTTTGAATGCAATGTCAATGTTGGTAACAATTTTATTTTTTCAGGTATTGCCGGTGCATGGAAACAATTACTTACATCAGAGGAATCAGAAAAGATTGATGCTCTCTTAAAAGAAGTGGAGCAGTCAGGACTGACCTTTTAATTTCTCAGTGACCCTTACATTTCTCAGTCACTAAAAGATATACCATGATAAAATTTGATATTTGAAAATACTAAAAGTTGATGCAAAGTCAATTTGTTGGATTTGAATATAAAATAAACATGTTTTGACATCAGAAATTTTGACATCAAAGTAGATATGTTATAGTTTATACTCTTGGTAGGCACAAGATGAATAAAGAGTGTAAATAATAAAATCTTTTGTTTTTTAATAGAAAGGATCAAATTTACTTGACCCGTAATTGGGAATGCAGCTTCCTATACATATTTTGCACATCTTTCTATTCAAATAGGACGTTTTCAGTAAAAATTTAATAGATTTCGACTCATTTCTGTGATAGAAATATTTAACTCAAAGAAGGGCATAGTGTATCTTTCAGATATCGCGAAATTTAAAACCAAATTCAAAAGAAGACCGTCCTTAGGCTGTGTTTTCAAAATACAAAAATGAATTTGGTAATTTAACTAAAACAGACTTTTAAAAAATTATGATTCTAAAAATGAAAATAATAATTTTATATTTATATCTTCGCCTTGGAGGGGCGAATACACGAAATGGCTGAAATCAGAAACAATGCATTTTCTAGAACAAGTAGGATAAGTCGGATATTTTGGTGGCTGATTTCTTGTGTATTCGCCCCTCAAAAGTCGACGGCGAATATGCTGACTTATCGGTTGTTCGTCCTTAAATTTTGAGGGACGAAGACACGAAATCATGAAATGGCAGAAATCAGTTACCATAGAATATAGAAATTGAAATATATCTCCCATATTAAATGCATTTGAAAACGTTCTTGAAACGTTCATGTTTCGCAAAAAAATAAAATGGTTCTATTATAAACAGATAATGAAAAGTATGAAAGAAAAAAACTAAAAATTTTCTATGAAAATTAAGATGATCGTTTAAAAACTTTCTAGCAAACTTAAAAGGGTGAAAACTGATTCCCGTTCTGTTTGCATTATTATTGTTGTATATAAACCTATTCAAGATATATCTGTTAAAATAAGCCTCCTTATCAATAGCAATAAGGAAATGGCATATTTTAATAAAAGGGCGGACAGCTCTTTGTCACTTTCTCTTAGGAGGAAGGGTACCCTGTGATGCGTGTATGTTGTCACACGGTCACTTTCCTTAATGTCCTCGATACTATAGAGGCTATTCGTTACCAAAAATCCAGCCTTTGAGACTTGACAATGCATACTTCGGTTCTACTAAACAGATAAGTAAAAATCTAATTGTCCATCCGAGAGTTACATACTGCACTGGTATAAAGCATTTTGATTATCTCGATTTGATAAAATGAAAGCTGTTAACATGCAACTTAGATAAATTGCAAACTGTATTTATAAATGTATAACTTCATATTTGCGACATGTAGAAATGTAAACAATAGAATGTACACAATACGTTTATGGCTGTGCATCATGACGTTGAGAATGTAACTGTATCAACTTGACACACTCAGGTTTACAACACCACACTTTCTTTTTACATTCTAACGCAATTAACATTTGTAAACGATTTTGCAACTTCCATATATGGAATTATCACGGAAATAGACGAAAATTAATAGGCGGAGCCAATTTCACGAAAGCAGAATATAAAGAGAGGTAACTCTTGCGGGTACAAAAATATTTCAAATTATATAGAAACTGTTACATCACCCTTGACTTTGAACATCCTCTGATTTTGTTAAAACGTATTCTAGTACAGGATATTCAAGTAATGCAAAATTGGTTAAGATATAATGTAAAAATGTAACAACGTATATACTGATAATGAGCATAATAATATGCAAAAACTAAAGTTGGTGAAATAACATAAGGAAATGTTTCCCATATATAATGACACACACCACTGATTAATGATATCACTGATAGGGTTTTGTAAGCCACGGCAATACTCTTTTTTTTTACCTTGTTATGTATGCAACATATTACATGTATATAGTTTGTATCTGACCAGTTGGTATTTCCAATATTATCATTGTTCTATTTTTAGAACATAAACTACATGTATGTACTAGAACGTTCATAACTGTTGTAGAAAACTCATGCATTATATTTAGATAGAAATTTCTGGAATGATCTTTATTGTTGAAGTTGCTAGATTATGATTACTGCAGTAAATGGAAGACTTTTCTAGAAACTTCTTAGTTAATATATATAAGGAGACATTTTTCATTACTCTTACCTTTTTAGTCATCAGTAATCTTTTAAGTCATCAATATATTTGGAGTATTATTCAACTTGGAAATTAAGTGCTTTATTTGAGCTTGGATTATTTTAAAATAGTTAAAATTATTCTTGTGGATTTTATTGTGGGAATTTATTCTAAAGTGTTCTTGGATTTAACTTGGATTTAACTGTGCTATTCAAAAAGGATCATTCCAGGATCAGACTAGACATTTGTAATTTACATTTTTATTTGGACTTCAGGTATTTGTAAACATAATTTGTTATTTTATTTTTCTTTAATAATTTTTCTGTAATAAATTTGTTATTGTTACAAGTTTGTTGCTGGCTTTTCTTTCTCGTTACGCCTGGCTCGTAACAACCTTCAGAAAATAGTACTAGAATGCGATACATGGAAGGCACTTTTGGCAACACGAATAAAGAGAACTGAACAATAAGCTTGTGCCTTCTTTCTTTAAAGGAGTGTTTTGGGTGTATTTTGGGTGCAAAGTTTTCTATTGATTATTCCGTTGTATAACCAAAACTTGTGAATTTGTCCCATTTTAATGTTGAAATAAAAATTCAGTGTATCCTGGCAACTCTGTTTACCTCCATTGGGAGGTATTTTGAGTCATAGGATGTGATTTAGCCTTTTATTGTTAAATATAACAATAAATGTAAGCTGGCGTAGGTTAAGGTCTTTTTTATGCATTAGGCTGAATCAATAGCACCTCTAAAATATGTGTATACATGCTGTCATTAGCTGTTACCTAGATTTGCTGTCTAAATTTGTTGTCTATATGACCAAAAACAGAGAACTACTTTTATGTACATGAAATACTACACAGAATATTTATTAAGTTTTGTAAGTGATGGCTTTCTAAGAGATAAAATAAACAAGGTATACATAAATTGATAATCAACATACATACATTTGGACTCATTTAAATTTTACTTATTGAAAAACAAAATGGGAAAAATGGGAAAATATATGGTAAAAATAAAAAGTTATGTACGAAAGGGTACATACAACTTTGGTTATAATTTTACTATTGTTAAAAGTTGTTTTACTTGTCAAGTCATACGTTAGAATTAAGGTTACTAATATAATAGTACTACTAGGAAAGACAACAGCCAGAATTTGGTCTGTATTAGTAATTAGTCGTATCAAAATCTCTATCAGATGTTGACTTGAAAATTTGAAAGTGGTAAGGTAGCAGCTTAACTGTAAATGTTACTAATTCCTATGCAAATTGGAATACCATCAGTAAAATTTATTTGTCGTTGAATATAGTCTTTTCAATAGTTTTCACTTCCTTGAAATAACCTCAGACAGTATGTAACCTGGTGTTTTTTTGGTTTTTTTAAGTTTCTTTTTCCAGGAAATGTGGTGTCTACAACGATTTAAAACTTATATGCCTATATTCCTTTAAAGTCCGCTGATGTTGATTGTAGGCAATCATGCAAGTGAATAATGTTAAGTAACTAAACACCTAAAAGGTATGATAAACGGAAACTACGCCGCTTCTTGTCGCCGACGGTAAATACCGAAAATGAGCGGAAAATACATTTATTTACGATGATTTAGTGGGCGGGAAAATGGGCTGAGCTTATTTTATCTCCTATTGAAAAACGTGTAAAGCTGTATTATGCTGATCTGAATCATGATGGTTCGACAATGTAAAGCTAATAATGTAACTTCTGTTTTCAGTATTCGAACACTTGGTATTGCTACTATCAGTTAATGTTTTGTCGTTTAACAAATTGTATTTTGTTGAAATGCATGTTTACAATGTTAAATCGGCAAATCAATCCAAGTATGCAACATTGGAGTTTACATACAAAGAAATACAATTGTATTTTTTCCATTAACAAACTATTCAACTCAGATCAACAAGGCTGGATTTTTGGCAACGAATAGCCTCCATACGATACATGCATGTGGTCGCATGGTCGAAAGTCTCTAATAAAATGTCAACGTTTTCAATATTGTTTTGATATGGAACCTTCAATAGCTTATTTCTTAAAAAACTAAGTTACACGTAATAAGAAGTTTTGGAAGTCTAAATAGGACCTTGATACTACTAATTAGGAGAGATAAAACTTAAACTGTAAACTGAAAACGGTATGTTGCATTTCTAGACAGAAAAAAGAAGTTCAAAAACATAAAGAATAAATAGCCACGTTTGATACTGCATATGCCTCGCAAAAATCTGGCGGCAGTGGTTCTTGGACTAGAGATGTGTATCTTATGGTTTGTAAATACCAAAACAACAATAGCAACAACAACAACAACAAAAACAACGAAGTCAACAAAATCACTAAATGCCAGGCACAGTCAATGTATGTCAACTTAAAGGACAATTATGTCTTTTGCAAAAGAAATAATGTCAGCTGATGATCACATGACATTGAAGTTTTGTATCCACTTCACGATCGTTCTGACATTGGTTTAAAGAAATGTGTATTCCTGAAAACATACAAGATATTTTGGACCCACCGTAGGCTACTTTTTTGTGTGAAATTCTTTGCAGATTGTCACAAACAAGAAGCTTGACCATTCTTTTTTTGTAACTGAAATCTTAGGCACCTTCCTCTGGTCTAAAGAATAAGGCCACCAGACTTTGCGGGCAAATGCGTGTGAGCTCGCGTGACGATTTCTTCTTTGAATTTGATTTTTGTTTCCGTGCCAATATATCGATTTTTAAAGCACACAGTAACCTGACTATGGACTATTGGCCAATGCAATTGCAGCATTTAGTTATTTATTACATATTTTTCCATTTTCCTTTCTGTTTGTTTGATTTTTGTTTTGTATTTTTGCAGTGTTGATTTAACCGGGATACAATGTATTGTTTTCAAAGGTCCTTATCGCCCGAAGTTTGACGGAAAGGGCCGTAAAGTTACGATTTATAATATGTTATCAAAGTTTAACATGTGTATATCTGTAAAGCAAGGGCATATTTTACTAAAAATAACTAAAATAACCATATCATTAAGATAATACTAACGATAAAACATGTACATTCAATGTGTCGATTTTATACTTGTATGAAATAAACTTTAACTTATTACAGATATAATAACTTACAAATAACATTATAATGAACAGAGCCTCGTTTTAGAAATGACAATAAAAAACGATTAAGTATGAGTGCATCATGCAAGTTTTTGATAATACTTAAGTGTCTCGTGATGATAATTAGCAATTGCTCTGCACAAGAGGGCACGTGCACTAAGGTATCGAGCTGTAAATGTACGTACCAAGATGGCGCTATAGTTGATCTGACCCCTCTAGCCAATACGGACGGAAGTGCAAGGTACTGTTTTTCATATTCTTATTCACCGTTAAATCTAAATATCGTCAGATAAATACACCGTCTAAAGTAAAATGTGCTTGATAACGAGAAAAAAATGAACATATTTAATTATCGTTTTAATAAATGGAACAAATTTTTATTTACTGTAACAGATTTTCTTTTCAATGTTACGTAATGATTTGATGGCGTCATGAATGTCAGCGCATATTGTTACGCGACAAAATCAGTCAAAAATGATTAAAGTAAAAAAAAATATAATAAATAGAAAATTTCTTTGACCAAATTAAATTTCATTGCTGAACACAAGCTCTTATATTTTCATTCGTGGCGTAAATATTATGTGTTTAATCTGTGAACTATTTTTCGATCTTACATGCGTAATAAATATTCTCTATATGAATGAGTAAATACAAAATAAAAATCATAATAATATTTTTACAGATACTCAGATAAAGCCGGAAGTGTTGCCACAACTTTATACTCATGGAACCCATGTAACAGTTTTACAGAAGGCACGTGCCAAGATGTTGCGGTAAAGTTACGATTAAATACTATTAAATGTTAGGCCGATAAGAAGAAAGTTTGATAGTTTTTTTCTAAATGCTTATCAATAGTCAGTATATGTTTATCCGTTTAAACGGATACGGTCTATTTTTAGCTAAAAAACCGGTAAGAGAATTCAATAACAGGTAACCGAGGTAGAATCAGTTTTAATTTGATTCTTAACATAACCTTACTTACTTATAACAAGATAAGACAATTTGTTTGTATTTAAGTTTCATGCAACAATGTTTTTTATTTCGATCTGAACGAGTACGGTACAACCCTAAGTAACGGAAAATAGTCATTCCATTTTCGGATAAGTTTTGTAATCATTCTGAGTGCAAGCGAATGCGAACAAAATTTGATGTCATAAAAGAAACACGGTTAATGATGGAAATCGAAGGATATTGTAAGTACGGTCGGTTTAACGTTTAACTCGGTTTGAACGATTAGAATTTTTTCTAACCATGACACCCCTGGTAGTATCACTTACACTCCATGTACGACCACTCCATGTCTTGCTTTTTACTTGGTGCCTTACTGAATGCCTTTGCGGTAATCCAGTGTGACTGTATTTTGTATTGGGTTGCATTTTCTTAATGTCGTTTTGAATTGATGATCTTTGTTCTTATGTTTTTTCCTGTTCCACAGCCATAATACCTGCGCGAAATCCTATCATTTGCATGTTTTTCAATTCATAATTGCATAAATTCATAAATGAAAATAGGTTTACTGAACTTGTATGAAGAATGACATAAATTAGAAACGGAATTAAAAGTGTACTTCAGTTGAAACGTATCATCGCAAATAAAACTTTCATCATGGACATTGCAACATAAATTAGAAACAAAATGAAAGAGCATCTCGGTTAAAAATCGTGTCATCATAAATAAAGCTTTCATCATAGACATTGCAACATAAATTAGAAACAAAATGAAAGAGTATCTCAGTTAAAAAGCATGTCATCATAAATAAAACTTTCATCATAGACATTGCAACATAAATTAGAAACAAAATGAAAGAGTATCTCGGTTAAAAATTGTATCATCGCAAATAAAACTTTCATCATGGACATTGCAACAAAGATTAGAAACAAAATGAAAGAGAATCTCGGTAAATAAACTTATCATCATAAATAAAACTTTCATCATGGAGATTGCAACATAAATTAGAAAAAAAATGAAAGAGTACCTCGGTTAAAAAACATATCATCATAAATAAAAATTACATCATAACAATGTAATGACTTTGTCGCGTTATGATGCTACTCGGCGAAAATGGTAAAATGTTTCTGTATCAGTTCAAGATCTAGAGTTGGTAAATATTGGGTGCATAGCATTTTCAACTATGGCTTAAGTGAAAACTGAGAAGGAACTGCTGACAAGCGTTACAGATAAGTTTAGACTGAAGTCCTCTTTCATTTTCTTTCTATTTGTTTAGCTTCTTCTCGCAAGTTTAGTAAAGCTATTTTCATAATTGCGATTATATTCCATAATGCTTTTTTCATTTATAAACTGAGAAACATGTAAAGGAAAAACATACACGCGTGCATGATGGCTGTGAAATAGGACAAATATAAAAACAAAGATCAACAATGCAAAACGACATCAGAATACAAGCCACTACAAAATACAGTCACACTGGACTTCCCGCAGGGTACGGAACAAAAAGCAGGGAGTGCACATGGAGAGGTCATACAAGTAAATGATAACAATTGACAACTAAATAAAGAAACCCCTAAATGTCAAAGCCATTTTTGACATTTTTAAAAGCAAGCGAAAAAACGTTTATGCATGTATAAAATTTTATTTTCAAGGAATATCTGTGACTAGTCAATATGATCTTCGTTGAATCCTTTGGTAATTTAATATATGACTGAAAGAAAAAGTTTGCAAACAGAAATGTGTAAACTACAAATTTTCAACTAAAATGCACTTGAACAAGATATTTTCATGTTTTGAAACTTTATCTTAAACATGCAATTTCAAACATTTACACAGTATTGAATGATACATATTTTGTCTTGTTCGGTGAACCTTAAAACTTACAGATGCGAATAACTGAGCATTAAAATCGCCCTAAAATGTCACTTGTCAAATCTCAAAATATTTACATAAACAGTTTATATCTTCAATAATTTCGTCATATGAGAAGCTAGGAAGCTGAGACCTCAAATCGAGTGTGCCATAAACATTGTTTTAAGGAAATGAATATTTCAAAATATCATACAAATCCACTTACCTGAAGAAAAGATGTGGAACTTTGTAAATATTCATGACTCAGTGGCGATGGTGTGACATTTGCAACCAATTTTCTCACTCGCACCAAGTGTGCAACCACTTCACGTCCTGCCCCTTCACTTAGATGATTATGTAGAGATGCATTCCGAAATTATATAAATTTACAATTCTTGAACGTATTATTGTTTAACTAACAGGTATGTCAATTACAAGAAGATTTACCACCTGTAATATACGAAAGCCTAGGGAGCCAGGATTCAGCAAAGTTCACTACTGATGACCAAGGGCAATTAGCTATACAATACAGTGCTGAGAAGCAGGGCGTGCTCATGTATTTTATTTATCTTATCTTATTTTAAATCGTAACACCAAATGGGAACTTAAGTAGAACCTCCGAAGTTTCGAGAATTAACTGGATAGCTTCCAAATTGAAATAATCAAAAATCCCTGGCGGGATTCGAACTCACAGCAATGTGGGGCAAGTGATTTGAAGTCAACAACTTTAACCCCTCGGACACAGATATCCCTAAATGGTATTTGATTTCTATTCATACTACTAAGTCACATTACTGTAAAAGAAGTAAAAGTAGAAACGCTAGATTCACTGCCTGACCAGAGAGACCAAAGCGTTTCTATACTATTTGATGGCTTTGATGTATATATAATGATTTTTTAAGGAATAAAAGTTGTTGTGTTCTTGCGCCCTGGGTGGGAATATTTTTGTATAACTTGTTGACGATATGAAAACCTTTATATATGACAAGTTTCGAAGGAGAAATATGTCACAAATGTCCATGCTGTACGTTAACGTAGGATAACTGTTCTGCAACTGCATCTGTAAAACTTACTTTAAAAATCCACTTGATCATATGTCAATTATTCAATCTCTTGTTCATTATTTCAGAACAACGTTAATAAGCTTACTGTGTGATTCAAATTCTGCCGATACGTTAACAGTTACGGATGAAAGAAAACAAGAAGCCAAATATGTAAGTTCTCTATCCATTTATTTACTCCATTATTTAACATGATATCAACCTTTTTTACGTATACCCCGTTTAATTTGTATTCAAACCCGCTTCAAACATCCATCCGTTCTATTTATTCACCCGTTTCACATATCCATACGTTTTACATATCGAACCTTTTCACTTATCCACCCGTTTTATATATCCATCCGTTTTACTTATCGGACCGTTTTATTTATACACTCGTTTTACGAATCCATCCGTTTTACTTATCGAACCGTTTCACTTATCCACCCGTTTCACATATCCATCCGTTTAACTTATCGAACCGTTTAACATATCCATCCGTTTTACTTATCGATCCGTTTCACTTAATATCTAGATTCTACCCGTTTTTTATATCCATCCGTTTTACTTATCTATCAACCCGTTTCATCTACCCTTCCGTTTCCGGAATGGTTAGATATGGTTCTTCAAATAAAATGTATACATGCCATTGATTCTCGTTTGAAACATAGAGGCTTTTGATATCAGATAAAATGGTCACATCCTGCACAAGTATGGACTGTTCTTTAACAAACATTTAACAATTAGATCTCTTCGTAGCCGTGCGCTCGGGTGAAAATTATGGTTTAATAACCAGTGTTTAATGTTAAATAACTAATATTTGCTGAAATTAGTGAACATTATACCTTATAAAATCAAATTCACAACAACAACAACAACATCAGCAACAACATCAGCAACAACATCACCAACAACAACAATAACAATAATAGTAGCAGCAACAACAGCAGCAGCAGGAAAAACAACATCATCATCTTCAACAACAACAACAACAACAATAAAAACAACAACAACAACAAAAGCAGCAACAACAACAGCAACAAAAAAAACCCAAAACATGATAGTAATTTTACTCCTTTTTCCTTAACTTTTTTCAATATGTTTAGTTGAATATCTTTTTTTTAACCTTGCAGTTTCTGGAATTAAGCAGTCCCCATTGCTGTCCATCTGGTATTCCACACGATCATCTCTCCGTCGGAACATATATAACTATAATGTACGTAACTATGTAAACAAACACGTCGTTTTTAACTATATACTCATGATTTTAAGCATTCTGTGCATAGATAAGTATTTACAATAATCTAATTCTGGCAACCGGTAAATACCGGACTATCTAGCTTGATGGTAACAGTTTACGGCAGAAATGAGGCTCTGCTAAGTTACCCGAGGGCTAGATTTCCAATATTTTGAAAAGAATTTGCGAAAACTAATATTTATAGTGATCATTTTTTTCTGATACATTTAGTAGCGTATGAATTTACAACTTTATTCATAACGTCAAACTGACCCCATTCTACAAACGCCATTCATTCATAAAAGGCTCGCAGAATTGACGCCATTTAATGCACTCGACTTGGGTTACACGGGGTGTAAAACAGGTTTATTTAGCACCGATGGAAACAGTATATTCCTGTTTGATATGCATAAAGGTTTTTGAGCACCAGTGGAAGCAGTAGATAATCCTGTCTGATAATCAAGAACGTATTTGAATGCAGGCGCGTAGCTAGATGGAGCTGACTTAGATTTAGAACATTTTAATGAGTTGTCTTATACAGTATACTTCTCGTTCTTTAGACAACAAAACAACAAAGCTTTTCAGATATATAAAGTTTTAAAGCTCTACTATAGTTCACATGTTATTACTTCAAATCCTTTATCAAACAAGAATTAACCCACTAAACGTCTTTTTCTTTCAGATTCCTGTCGTTTGCATCTCTGTTCTTTGTCATTGGAATATCTATACAAAAATGTGTTAGGAAGAAAACCGGTAAAGACGTTATCCCATTTGTAGAGTTTTGGATCCAACTGCCGGGCCTGGTAAAGGTAAAACTCATATAAAACTGATAAACCAATTAAAAAACAACTCTTTCATGCATTACTGAAGTACAATATTGTAACAGCCATTTGATTACCGAGTTCTGGAATAAATTAATCCACCTCCTATGAATATCCGTTTGTTACCTTTAACTATTTGTTTGTTGCATTCATCTATTATGCACATCTGTCTGTTACCAACTTAATTTGTTATGAACATTTGTTTGTTACCTTAACTTGTATGAACATTTGTTTGTTACCTGCATCTGTTATGAACATCTGTTTGTTACCTACATTTGTTATGAACATATGTTTGGTATGAACACCAGTGTACAGTTGTTAAGGACATCTGTGTATTACCTACAGTTGCTGTGAACATATGTTTGTTACCTACATTTGTTATGAACATTTGTTTGTTATCCACATTTGTCATGAACAAATGTTTGTTACCAACATTTGTTATGAATATATGTTTGTTACCTGCATGTGTTATGAACATATGTTTGTTACCTTCATTTGTCATGAACATCTGTCTGTTACCTACATTTGTTATGAACATATGTTTGTTACCCACATTTGTCATGAACAAATGTTTGTTACCAACATTTGCTATGAACATATGTTTGTTACCTACATTTATAATGAACATCTTTCTATTATCTGCATTTGTAATGAACATATGTTTGTTATCCACATTTGGTATGAACATATGTTTGTTACCTACATCTGTTATGAACATCTGTTTGCTACCTACATTTATTGTGAACATATGTCTGTAACCTACATCTGTCATGAACATATGTTTGTTACCAACATTTGTTATGAACATATATTTGTAACCTACATTTGTTATAAGCATCTGTTTGTTACCTACATTTGATATGAACATCTGTTTGTTACCTACATTTGGTATGAACATATGTTTGTTACCAACATTTGTTGTGAACATATGTTTGTAACCTACATTTGTTATAAGCATCTGTTTGTTACCTACATTTGATATGAACATCTGTTTGTTACCTACATTTGATATGAACATATGCGTGTTACCTACATTTGTTATGAACATATGTTTGTTACCTACATTTGTTATGAACATCTGTTTGTTACCTACATTTGATATGAACATCGGTTTGTTACCTACATGTGGTATGAACATCTGTTTGTTACCTACATTTGTCATGAACATATGTTTGTTACCTACATATGATATGAACATCAGTTTGTTACCTACATTTGTTTTGAACATCTGTTTGTTACCTACATTATTATGAACATATGTCTGTAACCTACAGTTGTTATAAACATCTGTTTGTTACCTACATTTAATATGAACATCTGTTTGTTACCTACATTTGATATGAACATATGCTTGTTACCTACATTTGTTATGAACATCAGTTTGTTACCCACATTTGTAACGAACATATATCTGTTACACTCATATGTCATTCAATTTCTGTATCTCTCCATATATGTGTGGGGTGTTTTCTTGTGTAGGGGGTTGTCAGAATAATCGTACAGTTGCACTGTAGATATTTTTTTACAGCGAGTTAATGTTTTTCTAAAGCGATACACTGAAGTGTATCAGATTTCAATGTACAGTTTTATTTATAAACCTGTTGCTGTGCGTATTAAACTATCTATACATGTAAATGTCAAATCGTTAAAACAGAAAATAGAGTTTTGGGAAAGATCCGAAGCGCGACGCCCTTTATGGAATGAAATCCGATTTTGTGAATGGGCAATTGCAACCACTCGGGCCTTTTCGTCTGTCATTATAGCCGATCATTCATGTTTTGGTATGAGGAAAAATGAAATGTCACAATATGTACAATGTATAGCGAACTGGAGAATTTCGCAATGCAAACATATTCTAATGAAATTATCTTATCCGTCAATAAATTGCGCTCTTCGTTTTTTTTTTATTAAAAATGTGGGTTATTATGTATATTACCGCTGTATCTATAAATAGAATGATGACAAGTACGAAAATCTATTTATAGAAGTAGTTTTAGTTTAACGAAACGGTCATTCGTGTTGGGCTATGATAATAAATAACGAATTGGGGAATTTTGCAGAAACATATTCAAACAATTAATTGCATTCTTTATAACTCTATAGAAAAAACTTAAGTAGACCTTTTTTACGAATTGTTATATCATAGTGTTATTTAACCATAATATCATTTTGAAATTGTCTTTTCCGTAGGTCTCTCCGGTTTTCTTTTTCTACTTTATGGCATTTTTACCATGAATATTTAATTGAATATGCCTAGTTCACAACTTAAAATGTCGCTTTCCTTTTGACGTTGTGAGAACAGGTCTATCAGTAGTATACAATAAACCTATTCGCTGTTCAAGTCTCTTTAGGTAACTGTTCTATATTTTGTTTGGGGGCAATCGATTTTATGGTAGTTTGAGTGGAAAGTTCATTTGCCGAATATTGTGACATTTTAACAACAGAAACTTTCGTCTGCAATTTTAACAGTTGTTGGTGGGTCAGACAAGGTTTATGAAGTAATTCATTAAATAGTAGATTGACCTCCCAATAAATCAATATACAGACTTTGTTCATTTTGACTATTGTTTTGTATGTTCAAAGAAAATACCACATGAACTTGAAATTATATCAAATAACCAATATTAACGATTATATCCAAAAATACCCCCTAAATACTATAAATAAACTTATACCAATATATTTTGGATATTATAGACCTGCATATTTTAGATATCATCGTTAATATTGATTTTAAGTTTCTGTGGAAAAAAAACATTCAATATTCTTATCACTAGAAAGCCTACCAAAGTTCATGATGAACAATGTCTTTTGTCTGCCCATTCATAAATGATTAACAATTCTGGTAAAAAACAATTAACAATTGGAAAGTTTATAAGAATATCTGGTCATCAGACGTCTACTAGCTCATCTTCACTTGCTACATTTCTTGGTCGACCCTTTTATGCTTTGCAACACGATGTTTTCTTGTTTTTTTTTGTTGAGAAGAGAATTTGTTGTTTTGAAAGGAGTTTTGTTGATTTGTTGAAGTTGGTTGAATTTAATTGTGGTGATATTAATTGATCAGGGTTTAATAGTTGGCATCAATTGTTTTGGTTATTGAGTTATATCTGTTTGGTGAGAAATGTTTGGTTGCTATTGGATGAGTGTTTTGAGTAATTTTGTCTGGTCAAGTTTATATTAGTTCATGCTTTGTTTTTGAAGATATCTGTAAATATTGGGTGCTTTAGTTTGCTGTTCTGATTAGATTTTATGAAGTAAATTTTGTTGGTTGAATGTTTGTGGGTTATGCTGCATCATACAGAAATATTAACTTTTGTGTTCTTCAGTTTGTGGTGATTTTATTGTTTTGTTTCATCATAAGTTGTTTAGAGCTTGGGCTCGCCTGGTGTCTAGTATTGTTTCGTACAAAAGACGTATATGAAAAGATATTTCGTATAAATGGCTGATAAATGATGTGTGTTTGTTTTGGGTGTAAATAATGATCAGAGTTTTATGTTGTGGGTGTAAATAATAATCAGAGTTTGTTGTTTAAATGTATATATGGATTTTAGATAGAAAAAGATAAAATACCTAAAAAATAGTGTTAACAAAACAACTTCATGCTAGTTTTTTCCAACCGAGACTATTTCAATTTATGTCGGTGCTGCCCAGCCCACATATCTTGAAAATTGGTTCTAATATTTATCACTAAAATTTTCCTTAGATTAAAGAACATCAAGGCAGTCATTCTCCTGACAATTATTCATGTGTTATCTTCATATGTTATATAGATTTACATACCATCTTTACCTGTGATGAATATACATTAGCCACCTTTACAAATGCCACTTTCTTTCTTTTGCCACTTTCTTTTGTCACTTTCATTTGCCACTTTCTAATGCAACTTTCTTTCATTTGCCACTTTCTTTTACCACTTCCTTACATTTGCCACTTTCTTTTGACACTTTATTTCGTTTACCACTTTTTAAACACTTTACTTTCATTTGCCACTTTCTTTCATTTGCTACTTTCATTTACCTATTGAATATGTATATTTTCAGCAGAAATGATATGTGTGCTTTTTCATCGGTTAGATACATCTGTAATGAAAATTGGTATTCCTTCCCCCTTTTCATTTTCCATTTTCCTTTTCCTAATTATCGTCAGTGTAAATTTATAAGGTTTAAGGTAGACCATGGGTAATGCATTACCTCCACTTTGAAGAGTATGCATCGCTTGCAAACTACATTGAAATTAAGGGGGGGGGGGACGGGTTCAAACCCCAGAAGGGGCAACTTTTTTTCTTTCTTCTTTTTCTTTTAACATTATTTATGTATCTCTCTGATCCCTTTTGAACTAAAAAAGGGTTTGATTTAAATAATATAATTGTTGTAGGTATTTATTTGCTAAATAATGCCAAAATTTATAGCAAATATGATACCAGATATTTTCCAAGTTTAATAAAATAAAAACTACACGGTAAAAATATTTTATATTCCGCATGATCAACCAAAATTTAACTTTGACAACAGCCCCTCATTATGGTAAAATTTAGGAATATTTTGAATAAGGCATTTTAGATAGGGAGATGGTAAAATTATTGTTAAAAGTGGGTGGGGTAGGTTAACATTTTTATACATATTTAGAACATTTTGTTTAAAAACAAACATTTTGCTTTGGTTATTTGTTACCTGAATGTTTTTATTTGTTTCTTAACAATGAGCAATAAAAAACATTTTTTATAATGATGATATTACAGATTATTTAGTGTTTCCTCATTTCTGAAAATAAGCCCTTCTAATGGCAAAGTCTTAGTTCAGAAATATATCTATAACTCATAAACCACACAGTAAATGTTATTTAAAGTTTGCATACATGTGACCTTGAAGACGTATAACTGTCCTATATTGTCAATTTTACAGTTCCTTATGGTTCCCATTACCCATAGGCTACATTAATTACAACTTTTTTATATTGGAATAATAATTTTATTCTTAAACCTGTGGCACCAACTTATTACATTATCACCTGTTATAAATATTACTAAATATGATATTATTTGTCGATATGCCAGTCCAATTACGGCACAGCGCCTAGCAGAACAGTCATAAAAGTATAACCACTGCTATATAATAATACGTTCATCTTTTATTTTTCAGGCGGGCGTTTTACTCATCTTGTGTCGGAGTAAACAAGTATCATACGAGACTTATTAGCATTATCTCAAAGCAACTGCACCTGAAAATGGTCAACACAGTTTATCCTTAACCACGCGGACTATATCACAATACTTTTAATGGTTTCTTGAAAAAAAAAAACAATAACAATACAACAGATGGTCCAAAGCTTTCTTAATTTATAACTTTAACAATAAAGTGTTTAACTTTTTTCCAAGGAAATATTTTATGTATGGGTTCCTCGCTATAATGAGCAAGCTCTACATTTTATTCCATAGAGATATATATTGAACTATTTCACAATTTGTAAAAGAACATAAAATGTGGACCGTCTTTAGTATTTGTTTTCCTGCCCACGCAGATCACAAAATATCACGTGGAATAGTCATACAATACTGGTCATCGACGAATAGGAAATAGAAATATGCTATATTAATATAATTTTAAAGTGACAATAAAATCATCATACGAAATATATTTATGCCACGTCAGAACAACTTCCTGTGAACAACATTCAATCATTCACCGTTTTCCTCATTTAAAGCGCGACCTGAAAAGTGTTGAAGTTTCAATTTTGCTAAATGTACAACGTAATTTCCCTACACATAATGTAAACAAACACTCTGTAAAATGTAAATGTAACATCCTTTCCTTTATAGGTAGACTTCACAGAGTCAGTAGCCTGTAGAATTTGAAATAAAGTGTACAACGGGCTGACTGATTGGGCTGTTCTCATGAAAAGTCTCCCGTTACAACTTCAGATTGCTATAAAACTATAAAAACTTCTTCAATACTTATCAAACTTGGCACAAATGTTGACTGGACTATTGCATTTGTAACAACATGCACAGTCTTAAATTTGCTGTTACCATCGCAACGAGAAGTAATCTCATAATTGCCAAAAATCACAATTTTGCGTTGATTTATTCAATCAAAATTGATGTCAAAGTGCTGCAACTTCTAAATGGATTCAGAAAGAGTCAAAGGCTTTTCAGCGTTGGTTACACGTTACCTTATGATCGACCTGGTGTTATTTTAGCCTCTCACAAGTCCAAAATTTTCTTGGCGATGAGGGGGACTACCGTCTCCCTTCAACACCCCCAAACAGAAGGGGGCATGCCCCCTTCTGGCAATCCCCTGATGCACCTTTTTGAGGAGGGGGGGGGGGGGTCGGCGCCGAAAAAGTGCACACTTTTTTATCAACATTTCTCAAACGAAAACATGTGTTTGGGGCCAAAACAGGACATTTTTCACTATTTGAGGCCTAAAAGACGGGAAGTGTGTGTGTGTGTATGGGGGCGGGGGGGGGGTCGAAAGTGTGTTGTTTCGCGTATATATGAGGTAAAGGTTTAACAAAAAAATGATGAAAAAACCTGAAATTACCAAAAATCGCATTTTTCCATGTTTAAACATGGCCTGACATATAATTTTGAAAAAAAAAATGTTGTTTTGTAGAATTTTTTTCATTAACCAATTACTGCATGAGCACTTGAAAAATGGCTGTTTTCATCGAAAAGTCTCCCGTTACAAGTTCAAATTGCTATAAAACTATAAAAACTTCTTCAATACTAACCAAACTTGGCACAAATGTTAACTGGACAATTGCCTTTGTAACAACGTGCTCAGTCTTAAATTTCCTGTTACCATGGCAACGAGGGGACATCTCACAATTACCAAAAATCACTATTTTGCGTTGATTTTTTCCATCAAAATTGATTTCAAAAAGCTGCAACTTCTAATTGGATTCAGAAAGAGACAAAGGCTTTTCAGCGTTGGTTACACGTTACCTTATGATCGACCTTGGGTCATTTTTAGCCTCTCACAAGTCCAAAATTTTCTTGGCGATGAGGGGGACTAACGCCCCCTTCAAATCCCCACCAACAAAAGGGGGCACATCCTTAACATAATGATGAAAATACCTGAAATTACCCAAAATCGCGTTTTTCCATGTTAAAACATGGCCTGACATATAATTTTGAAAAAAAATGTTGTTTTGTAGAATGTTTTATTTTGTTCATTTACCCAATACTGCATGAGCACTTTGTGAAAAATGGCTGTTTTCATTGAAAAGTCTCCCGTTACAAGTTCAAATTGATATAAAACTATGAAAACTTCTTCAATCAATACTAATCAAACTTGGCACAAATGTTAACTGGGCAACTGTATTTGTAACAACATGCTCAGTCTGAAATTTCCTGTTACCATGGCAACGAGGGGACATCTCACAATTACCAAAAATCACTATTTTGCGTTGATTTTTTCCATCAAAATTGATTTCAAAGTGCTGCAACTTCTAAATGCATTCAGAAAGAGTCAAAGGCTTTTCATCGTTGGTTACACGTTACCTTATGATCGGCCTGGTGTCATTTTAGCCTCTCACAAGTCCAAAATTTTCTTGGCGATGAGGGGGACTACCGTCTCCCTTCAACACCCCCAAACAGAAGGGGGCATATCCTCTCTGGCAATCCCCTGATGCACCTTTCGGAGGGGGGTCGGCGCCGAAAAAGTGCACACTTTTTTTATCAACATTTCATGTGTTTAGGGCCCAAACAGGACACTTTTCACTGTTTAAGGCCTAAAAGAGGGAGGGGGTCGAAAGCGCGTTGTTTCGCGTATATATGAGGTAAAGGCTTAAATACATGTATATAAAATACTATTTTGCCATGCTTACCGAATAATGGTATTATAGTCAAGTTTAATTACGCAAATGGTTTGCTCGTTTAATGTGCGGCCTCATAAGTGACATTTCTTTTTATTTTCTACAGTTTCAATGCCAATAACAAATGTAAATTTTATTTGGCTGAGTGGTTATGATCGATACATTCACTTGGCCCTAACTGCTGCAGGTTAAAAACCTAGTAGGAACTGTGCTTTGTTCTTGTGAGAAAGTTATCTAATTATAAATTACCATGAAGGTGAGTTGTTCTCCTTGGATGTCTGGGTCATTAATTACTAATGGAAGGAGGTCAACTAAGATCTTTCCCCAACGGTAAAGCTGGTAAGTCGACACATATCCACAGTGTAAAGTAAATAAATGAAATAAAAACAACAAATCCATGTATTTTACAAAACCATGTGTATTGTTAAGTAAATATGTTATAAATGTTCACCAGTTTCTAGGTTACAATTTTAAATGTTTAATAAACAACATAGCATGAAACATTCCTTCACACAATTGTTAGTAAATGATCAATCATATAATATGTTTATATAATATCATGAAAACAATTAATTGATAACACTTTCGTTAAAGATATATACTATGCTCATCCTTTAGTAAAATATTTTAATCACAGAAATTAATTGAAATCTATGAAATTCTTACTAAATATATCTTATTTGAATAAATATGTCTTATTTGAATAAAAGAAAGAATAAAACATGTATGGAGAGCTGTGTTCCCTATATCTTTTCTAAAAAAATGACACTATTATATATTCATATATATAGACAATTTATAGTGTGCAGAGTTTTACATATAACATATCTACTTTGTTGGAAATCAAAACAAGTACATATTCTATTTATAAAGAGACTGTGTAACGTTAGCATTGTCAATATTTTCTAATATAAAATAAGAGCAAATTATATCTTTAAATATCACACGTTTTATCTGCAAAATATAAAATGACGTGAATACAGAAAAGTGTCTTTATGTTATATGTATATTAATTATATATAAAGCAGCGAAAGTTTAATCAACGAGAAATAAACTAATAGAATATCCCTTACTGTACACCATCAAATGCGACTGATGAAGTGTTTCTGAATTCCTAGCATTGAAACGTATTAGGTTAATTGACCGGGTATTTCATTAAAAAATAATCGTGGCGTTCTGGATGCCATATTTACCGACTCACCGAGGTTGTAAACATATACACCAAAATGATAGCTTTAAACTTGAGTTATTTCCGTACGCTCAACCGTTGAATGTTTGGCGTTATTTTCTTTCCGTGCTTCTGTTGAATAAATAATCACAATATTGTCACTTCTGAGTACGTTGTTTATAAACAAATATCTTTTATTTACTCTACGGTGTTCGATATACTCGTATGTCCTATTATGCATTAGAAATTAATACAAAATTCAAAGAAAAAAGAAAAATACAAAGAAAAACAGAGTGTTATTTTTCACAACGACACTCGCATACAAAGCCCAAAACAAAACAAAGCAAACAAAAGAAAAATAATACAATCTCCAATTCCACGAACATTATGCTGGGTTCCCTCCGTTTGTTGTGCAGCTATTATTGCTTAATAAAAAAAATCACAAAACCGTCTTAAAATGATTTGTAGACACAAGATTCTGTGTGAGTCATGTTTAAGATCCGGATTTCTGAAGAAAACACACTAAGTCTACTTCCCTAAAATATATACATATATAACTATAAAACAGAGTGATGAGCCTTTTCTATGCAAAACATGTTGGGTATTTAAATTATCTTTATATTAAGTGATTATTTGCAAGTAAAGACATTTTTGTCTCATTATCAATATTTATATCCGGTTACAGAAACTTTTACAGGAACTTTCCTTGGTATATTGTATACCTAGTTTTGCTATTATATAGTTATTTGTTTAAGAGAGATCCAGAAAAATAATTCTTTCCGTGATAATCATCATAAATTGTATCGTAATTGTTTACCCACACTTGTTCCGCTTTGTTTAACATTGCGATTATGCTCACAGAACTACATTCCCAAGAACTGTTATAATTATAACCATAACTTCTTGCTAATATTCTACTTTTTTGATGTATGCCGTAATACGTATGAGTATTTTCCTTGTTACAAAGCTGGACGGAGAAGAAATAGAGTCCAGTATACGGTGCAGCGAATATCCCGGTAGAACTGTTGTAATCAGCACCTTGGTTTGTTATGACGACATCGAAGACAACGGTGCCCGGTTTATTTACTTTTCCTGAAGTAGATAGATGGGCGTTGAATCCAACAATTGGTACTGCAGAGAAACAAGATACAAAAATTTTCAATACCGTACGTAAGTTATTCGTTTGTAGAAAATTAACTTTTGTATAAAATTATATTACAGTATTACGAATGAATGCTATCGATGAAATAAAATTATGATCTGAAAACGATCTAAGAAACAAACCCCACAAATGAAAGTTTTAATATACACAGTGTGGCAATACCACGTGACATTGACGTCATTTTCGGCATCATTTCCAAGACAAATGTTGCTCGATTCGGAAAAGAAAATAGCCGTAAATATTTTATTTCTGTACCAATTTTTTTGGGATATGCACCAGTCTACGGGGAAAATTATAAGCTTTCCACAGAATATTGGATCTTTGTCAGTTTATAAGCCGTGTTATCAAACACTTTGCATAACCTTGGAAGTTGCTTGTATTAGAGCGGACTTCAGTTGCAAGCTATTTCTTTTCTTGCGTTATTCTGGTCTACGTCATGATTAAAAAGTCAGGTTTACACCAACCGGGAGTACGGAAGGCAAAAACTCTACCTAAATATGTTCATATTTTTATTATGAATGACATAAATCTTAAATTTTTCTTCAATTGTCAATTTCTGGCACCAGTTCCAAAGTCGAAAAAAAAAAGGACTACAGTTTAAAGCAGATTTTTAGAAATCCGTTGCAAATGCAAAGGAACATGCTTACCGTTTTCTTTCTATAATTATGTTAACCATGAAAAATAGTGTATTTAACTATACGATTTACATAAACACAAATGAATATTTAAATGATTTTTACTCGCTGCGCTAAAAGTGATTTTAAAAGTCGTAAAATTGTTGTCTGCATTTGTAAAGAAATTGATATTGCTCTTTAATCATTGTTCTTTCACGGTAATGATTATGAAAAATCTATTTTGTGTCATGTAGCAATACAAAACGTGGAATTGAAAACAAAAACCCTAAATATCGCCAAAAACGGCCAAAATTGAAAATGTTGCAGGCTCGGATTGACTAAGCTAGCCTGTCCAATGAACGTGTATGATAGAACACAAGTGGGCACTCGTTGATAAAAAATGTTTTTACATCCTGTTTTCATACCCCACGGTAACCGTTTTTCGTGAACTGGATGTAACTTCGTTCACTTAAGAACACAATTAAACACACTATTAAACACTATCTATTTTATAATTGCATTTATTTCTGTTAAAAACTGCATATCTGACAAATTTAGTTAATTATATCAGTCAACTCAGCTTTATCAGAGAGCTCACCAATATACATTGTAAAGAGAGGAAGGGAACGGAATATTTATGGTTTGAACACATTTAAATCGAGTAGAACTTTTTAAACAATAATGTCTCTTTCAACTGAATAAAAACGATAGGGCTATTTGGACTATTTCTTATCGATGTGGTCATTGGCTATAAATGCATGGAATTATTGCCACGCGGCGTGAGGACCTGCAGATGTCCTCAACAGACTTTTTGTAGCATTTTTAAGATATAAAAAAGGACCATACATTAAAATCTAAAACATGATAAACATGACGCATATACTAAATAAGTGAATCATCTGATATGTAAATAAAGAAGTAAGTCATTTGACAGTTGAAGGATGAAAATTGAATATACTCTTCAAATGTAATCGTAATTTTACTAAGCTTATGTTAGCTATCAATTATTCAATGGACGCATCAGTGGCATATGGACCCCAGTCATAGATCTTGCCGATGTTGCTATTACAGATGTTAATGTAAATATTTATATAATTATTGATAATCATTGTTATTGCCGTCTTTTTGAATGTTTTGTTTCAAGAAATTTGACTGTGATCGATGGCTGTTAGTTTGTAAAATCATTTATCTGTTTACTATTTTCTACTTTGTTTACTCGACATGGCGTCCATTCTCGTTCTTATTCATGGCAATTTTGGGTCTTTTTTATAAATAGAGAATCACAAGTAATGCAACTAAGTAACAATACTATCAGATTTACACGGCAAAGTTCCAAGTTCAAATTGTGATTACGTTTATCAAACTCTATAGAAATTTATTATACAACAATTCCAGAAAACATATATACCTTTTAAAAGTCTCTCTTTTGAGGACAGAAGAACCTATTCGTCACATTCACGAGTGTCAGTGTTTGTCAGTTACTCTTTACAAAAATAAACTGAAAAAATACCTTTAGCTTTACAACACTCGCGTTAAAGTGTATAGCATACAAAAGTGTTTTTTTTTATTTTAACTCTTTCTCTCACTGAGAGCACATATATTTCTTATCAATTTCGCCATTGTAAAATTTCGCCATTGTGAAATAGAATAAAACACATTTTAATACATAGGATAAAATAAGCAATACTTTAAACATCTTCAAAACGAAACCAAAATATTATTTTCCGACAGGACTAAATCTACGTGATTTGACGTGCGCTATTGCGATACAAGTAAGTGTTATTGCTTTAAGGAACAATCGTTTTTTTCACAATCTCTCTGTGAAAGATCAACAATGAAAAACTAAATTGTAGAAAGAGAACGGTAGGCATGTTGCTTTGCATTTGCAACGGATTCTAAAATCTGCTTTAAACTGTACGTAGTCCTTTTTTTCGACTTGGAACTGGTGCCAGAATTGACAATTGAAGAAAAATTTAAGATTTATGTCATTCATAATAAAAATATGAACATATTTAGGTAGAGTTTTGCCTTCCGTACTCCCGGTTGATGTAAACCTGACTTTTTAATCACGACGTAGACCAGATAACGCCAGAAAACGAAATAGCTTGCAACTGAAGCCCGCTCTAATACAAGCAACTTCCAAGGTTATGCAAAGTGTTTGATAAAACGGCTTATAAACTGACGATGATCCAATATTCTGTGGAAAGCTTATAATTTTCCCCGTAGACTGGTGCATATCCCAAAGAAATTGGTACAGAAATAAAATATTTACGGCTATTTTCTTTTCCGAATCGAGCAACATTTGTCTTGGAAATGATGCCGAACATGACGTTAATGTCACGTGGTATTGCCACACTGATACATGCAATCGATAGGAAAAATAAATGTAAGTTTTGTCCTACAAACAAGAAACTTTTAGTTCGCGTACATTTTTGCAAATATTTCTAACTTCAAAATGTTACCCTTATAAATTGTTAAACTCCGCCTGAACCGGTACTAGGAGGCGTGGACGGTAGTTTGAAATTTTCAGTACCGTCCACAAACAGGCTCATTTTAATTGAGGCTGCAACAACTTTAATTTTGTCGTTTTAAACGTTTGTTAGGCATGCTGTATTCCCCACTATTTGATTTTTAATGTTATTATAATTTCAAGAAAAAAAAATATCGGATCAATACAAGTATACACTTAACAAAAGTTCTAACCGGTCACTTTTTAAATTTAATTATTTTATAACGGGTCAATAGATCCTTATAAAATTTGCAGAGGTGATTTTTGTGTCATTTTCTACCGATTTGTGGAAAGAAAAATAATTTAATGCGGTTCCATGCACTCACGCAAGAAACAGGGCAAGGTTTACACATTTTGGCAGAGCGTGGTGAGTATTAAATTTAACATTGCATAAATCCTTGTTAACATTATAAGGGAAAATACATAAAACATGGCACGAATGTCGATGCAGGATCGTGCCGTAGCAGTTGGAATGTTGAATGCTGGAGCCTCTATCAGACAGGTGAGTGGATGTTCATAAAATATTTATTTAAAAATATCGATAAAGTTTTATTTAAATAGAAAAAATGTATAATTTTATTATTCTCAATGTGTTCATTCTCTTAGAAATAAATAAAAGTCGGATATATTAGTATTATTCTCTTTCATATATAAAAGAAAACTCAGGGTGATCGGTTAGATTTTTTGTTCAGTGTATACAGCTGCAAGTATTAAAGCAATTATAGTAACTAAATTGTTAGCATTACGTTCAAAGAGCTTGGAATAGTTTGTTTGTCATTTTATTAAAGATGGATATTTCAAGCATAATGTCACTTGCAGCTTTTATAAAAATACAACGTAAGGTCTCATCGTTTATGTCTTCCAAGATATTCACCTTCTGCAATAACCGTCACCTTTTCAGCTAATACAGTTAATCAATTTCTAATCATGGTTTCCAAAGGTTTATCTTCTTGATAGTCAAATTTGGAACATATCGCTTGTTTCATGGGGGATGCACAGACGTTGCATAAAATATACACATAAACATAAGAATGTATGAAAACATATTTGAGTATCAATGTTATTATTGAACCTGACTGAAAAGACACATTTCTGCAAATGAAAAGTTATAGGTAGTTGTTTTATTTAAACTAATCATGTTCATCATGGTTGTTGAAAATCAAAGCTTTACGAAAAACAAATACTTATAATTTATATATGAATTATAATTGTAAAATTCATAGTTTTCACGCTTGTTATTAATCCATTTTATGAAAATAAGTGCTGCTTGAAGGTATCACTGATTCTGCTAACTTAAAGTATAGATATTTATAATAATAATAATCTTTATTCACAAAAGGTTACAAACCCATGAGTGTCATGGTATACGATCAATCATTTTATGATAAATATAGGTCAATGGTGACATATAACAATGACATATAATAGTCTCTAAAAGACCTGTAATTACACATTTTATGTAACAATTCTTAATAGAATTAATTGTGTTGCATGCATAAAGCTTTTAAACACTTGGAAATAAAAAAAATAATAAGATAAATTGCATTATGTTCTAACCGGAAGAAACTTAATAATTCACAATAGGATTAAATACGTTACAATCACATATAACTATGTATGTTTTACTAGAAGAAACTTAATATTGCATAATATAACATGTACTAATAATCAAATACACACGTGCATTACACTTACATATAAAATGTATATTTTTAAGTATGAATGATTAAACAAAACAGATTATAAATATATACTTGTAAAAATGACGTTGTAGGAGAAAAGTGTGAATGAAAATATTTTTAAGAACAGTAAATCGGTGTACGGATTTCAAAAGCTTTATAAATAA